ATAAGACGATCGTAACCCCCATACTTCAATTTAGACTTATGACAGGCTTAACGCTGTCATTGCTTTGATGAACGGGTCATTAATAACACTTAGAGGTTAAAACATCAATACATCAAAGATATATATTACAACATTTAGACATATATTTGCATATCAGAAGAATTGATCATGCCGCTTTGAGATCAAAGGCATCATGGACGCTGTCCTACTACAATAATCACTGTGTCATTGCGTGAATGAATGTTGTTTCCTGCCGCGGTATTACAGTGCCAGCAATGCGATCTAAATAATCGAGTCTGGACCAGACAAACTGGTGACTGTGAGAATTACCAATGACACACGTCTGTAATTAACGTGTGATTGAGAGTTTGGTTGAGCGCCGCTGTAAACAGTATCTCAGCCACCCGATCCAGGAAAGCCACCCGATCCAGGAAATATTACCTACTACTAGCACAGATTTGTTAGCTACTATGAACTGCTACTAGCAGGTACAAAGACGGTCTATACGTCTCTGGAGACTAACATGTACTGCTACCACTAACTAACAGTAACAACATGAAAGAGCATGACCATATTAGGCAACACCATAATTCTCATCCAAGGCACGCCATATTGAGGCAAGCAACACACAGTAGGTTCTGTAGTTTCTTTACTTCACCATAGTTGCTAATCATGACTGGGTCATAACAAGTAGGAATTTGTATGTGCATATTGGTAATCGTTTCTTTATGATATCACTTTCGTATGCAGAACTTTCGCTGGGTAGCGTGTGCAATCTAGAAGTAAGGCAGCCTACTGAAACTATTTGTCGATGTGCTTACGTGGTTTAAGGTGAGGCGAGGTGAAATTGGGTTTAACGTCGCGTCCAAGATTATTGCACTTACATAGCGACGTGCATGCACGTGTATGTGTGTGTGTGGCTGCTTGTACTAGTCCGGACTGATGCCGATTTATAGTGCTAGCTCACTGAGATACCATGCCGCAGTTTAACATGAATACCCCACTCAGACACAGTATACTGACTCCGAGCCGACCAGTCCTTGTTTTAGCCCCTTAATGCCGAGCGCCAGACAGGGTAACAACAAGTACAATCTTTTAACGTCTTTTTGTATGACGCGGCCCGGGACCGAACCCTGGACCTTCCGCTCTCCGGGCGGACGCTCTACCACAAGACCACGGAGGCGGTCGCTTACGTGGTTTAAACAAGTCTCCATATTACTGTTCCATCTATAATCTTATATATCTACAATTCTTTGGGTCGTTGCGAAAACGTGAATGTCAAGGTCCTTATAGTTAGGCCTGCTATCAACGGATAGTGTACGTCGAGAGCAGGATGCCTTGTTGACAACAGGGGAGATAACTCAGTCTGTTGTTTGTTTGTTTGTTTGTTGTTTAACGCCGCACTCAGCAATATTCCACCTATATGACGGCGGTCTGTAAATAATCGAGTCTGGACCAGACAATCCATTGATTGACATCATGAGCATCGATCCACACAATTGGGGACCGATGACATGCATCAACCTTCTCGGGGTGGTTCTGGACGGGTATTGTGCACATCCATCAAGCGTGCACCAGTTGTCATGGCAATGAATTAACAGTAACTAACGGCTGAGGTCATGGACCCTTGTGAAACGGCACAATGAAAAATTATTTCGATTGTGGGTTTTTTAACGCCGTACTCAGCAATATTCCAGCTATATGACGACGATCTGTAAATAATCGAGTCTGATCCAGGCAACCATGGAATGACATGACCATGGATCCATGCAATTGGGTTACGATGACATGCATCAACCTGGGCCCACTTGCACAAAGCGATCTCAGCGCTAAGGTCATCGTAACTCCCATACGTTAACATAGGCATACGATAGTCTTAGCGTTAAGATCGCTTTGGGCAAGTGGGCCCAGGTCAGGAAGCCTGACCACCCGATCCCGTTAGTCGCCTCTTCTGACAAGCATGGGTTGTTGAAGACCTATTCTAACCCGGATCTTCACGGGGGCATACATCTACTACAAATTAACGTACTAGCTCTGTAAGCCATCTCCAGACATGTCGGCTAGGAGAAAACATTACTAGACAATATCGGGGTGCGGGGGGATCGGTTTTTAGGAGTCTGGGTACAGCTCGTGACTTGACCTTTCAGCGTCACATCTGGAATGTGTGCAGGATGTGTACGGGGCCTCGGCACAAATAGGTCAGGGTTTATTTAGTTGAGCAGCAAATACAATTAAAATTGTGGCGAGGAAGAAGTAGCTGAGTCAGCAGTATCACACGCACCTTTCACGCGTCACATTTGGAATGTGTGCAGTATATATATATATATGTACGGGGCCTCCGCACAAAATAGGCCAGGGTTGATAGCGTTAGAAATTGGCACTTGTCCTCTAGTCCTTGCCAAACTGCCCAATACTTAAAGTATCATAAAAACCAGTAGAAATTTGACATTTTAAAGGGTTTTACAATACGTTATCATAAGGACTAGTGGACTAAAATGTTAGTTTCTACCGCTGATTTATTTGGTTGAGCAGCAAATACAATAAAAGTGTTGGCGAGCGAGAAGTCGCGGAGTCAGCAGTATCACACGCACCTGCTCGATCCATGCCATCGATCCAGGCCAGGTATACGCAAAATTCTTTCCATGAGATGGTTTGCCTTTAGGACCCTGGGTTCATGAACCTGCTATCACTGAACTAGACTTGCACAAGTCTCTAAGGTAATCATTATCAGTTTAAATAATAATTCTAGATTATATAAATAACAAGAAAAAGATTTCCCTATAAGTGAGTGGAGTCATTCCACATATCTAGACTCGCCTATTAGGAGGATTGAATAACTACGCATCCATGGACTTATCGTTCAGTACAGCCTTGGAGCAATGCTATTACTGAACCTCAGCATTTATAAATATGCAAGCACAATGATTACTATATGGACTGGGGAGACTTGTCATGTTGATGGAAATCTCAGTCGGTCCCCACCCCCAGCAACCGCTACCTCTTCATGTCACATTATCTTCCCACCCCCTCACCACCCCACCCCACCCTTTCCTTTCCCGTTCACTCTCTCACCCTCTGCCTGAGGCCTACCTCCATCTTCCCATCCTTTAGGTACCCCCATCCGTCAATGGTCCCTGTCCCTTATCCATTCCCGCCATTCAAGTCTTGTCCTCATTTAGTAAAAAATAAAACAAACAAATACAAACACCTACCCCGTGTTGCATGGTCCACATTTCACGTCCATTGGAAGCACTCATAAAATCCCACTCAGTCATCTGCAGTCGGATAATGCCAAAAATGTGGTAACAATGTCGCTACATTGCCACGAGTAGGTCGCCACCAGTCATACCTCAAACCAACTGAGAAACCTGTGCAAAGTATGGTCGTACCCCACATAGCCAATAGGTGTCTCACACTGAACGGTTATAGGAGTGAAGGTTTTACAAGCACTTCTTCCTAGGCTAGAATTAGTCACTAGCAACCCATGTTTGTAAGAGACAACTAACGAGATCGAGTGGTCAGGTTCACTGACTTGGTAGATGCATGTCATTGTGTCCGAAATGCGTAGATTGCTACTCATAATGTCAATCACTGAATTGTCTGATCCGGGCATTATTATTTACAAATCACCATCAGAGAGCTAACAAAAATATGAAAAGAGTTAAACAACAACACAAACAATAATAGGATATATGTGTAGTGCGCTTTTCCATTCTGTATATCCTGCTCAAAGCACACCATTATAACCCCAGTCAGTGGCTCAGTGTACACTCGAGTTTCGTTCTCAGCTCCCTGGGCAGTATGCAATATATAAATAAAAAAATAGAAGGAAATAATTGTATCCAGAAAACAGATTATCTCAATATTTAGTTACATCCACATTTTGACTTTTTGTTCTGTTCGACTGTCTCAAGCAAAGACGTCTCCTGAAGCAAAACGATAATCAAACACAATGAAACAACAACATGTAAGTATTTTTTACAGAAGAAAATATGGTAATGACGAATGCTGTAACAAATTTAGCAATTGAAATTTTATCTTCAATTTTTTTAAACAAATATATTTGTCTCTCCTGCCTACAGCATGTTCAGGTTTTATGCAGATAAAACTGTAAAACAAGTAATGAAATTGGCATGACCTATATCAAGGCCAAAACAACCCACCACTCAATAAATGATATACTATACTTTGAAGAGGCAGTAGAAGATCAACACCAAACATGATTTACTGTACTTTGAATAGTAAATAGTTTATCAACACCAAACACGATTTACTGCACTTTGAATAGTGAATTGTAGACCAACACCCAACACGATTTACTGTACTTTGAATAGTGAATAGTTGATCAACACCCAACACAATTTACTATACTTTGAATAGTGAATAGTTGATCAACACCCAACACAATTTCCTGTACTTTGAATAGTGAATAGAGGATCAACACCCAACATGATTTACTGTACTTTGAATAGTAAATAGTTTATCAACACCAAACACGATTTACTGCACTTTGAATAGTGAATTGTAGATCAACACCCAACACGTTTTACTGTACTTTGAATAGTGAATAGAGGATCAACACCCAAAATGATTTACTGTACTTTGAATAGTAAATAGTTTATCAACACCAAACACGATTTACTGCACTTTGAATAGTGAATTGTAGATCAACACCCAACACGTTTTACTGTACTTTAAATAGTGAATAGTTGATCAACACCCAACACGATTTACTATACTTCGAATAGTGAATAGTTGATCAACACCCAACACGATTTACTCCACTTTATATAGTGAATAGTTGATCAACACCTAACACGATTTACTGTACTTTGAATAATAAATAATTGATCAACACCCAACACGATTTACTGTACTTTGAATAGTGAATAATTGATCAACACCCAACACGATTTACTGTACTTTGAATAGTGAATAGTTGATCAACACCCAACATTTTTCTTGCATAAGGATACCCAGTCTGAGCACAAACACATGAATGCAAGCTTTCTTTTTAATAATTCAATCACTCCATATACTGTGCAATACAAAGACTCCCATTTGTACCTCCAAACCCAAATGAGTTAGTGAGTGCCACTCTCTGGACCCCATTTCCTGACCAGGTCACGCTCCTGTTAGCCACAAGGTCAAGGTGACATCCTTCATCGGGTGTGTCAAGGTTAATGGTTGGAGGTATACACCCAGTCTGACATGCTAGAACAGTGAACACCGCCTCCACACTCCCGGCTGCACCTAATAGATGCCCCAAGGCACCCTTTGTTGAAGACACAAGGACGGCAGAGTTATCTCCCTTAAATGTTTTTTCAATTGCTTTACTCTCCACAGCATCTCCAATAGGGGTCGACGTAGCATGGGCATTGATGTAACCTACGTCCTTTGGATCGAGACCAGCATCTTTCATGGCTGCTTTCATGCACCTCTCCGCCCCTGAACCATCCTGACTAGGGGTGGTGATGTGGTACCCATCCCCTGAGAGGCCATACCCCAGGACCTCAGCGAGTATTGGGGCACCCCGAGTCTTTGCATGTTCCAGTTCCTCCAACACAACCATCCCTGCTCCTTCTGACATCACAAACCCATCACGGTTCTTGTCGAAAGGTCGAGAGGCCTTGTTTGGGTTTTCATTAAAGTTTGTACTTAAAGCTCTCATCCTGGCAAAGCCTGCGATGGCAACTGGCCCCACACAGGCTTCAGTGCTCCCTGCTACCATGACATCAGCATCTCCATGGAGGATGAAGCGGGCTGCGTCTCCTATAGCATGTAGGCCTGTTGTGCAGGCAGTGGACACGGCATGGTTCGGGCCCTAAAAATATACAAAATATCATGATATTGTTTGTCATGCTTAACCCAGGTGATTTGCTGTGCAGAGTTGCGTCCCTTGGGCACACCAGAAACCTATGATTGTGGGTTCGACTCCCAGTTCACTCCGATTATGTTTCCAGGTTTGTCAGCACCATACCCGTGCTTGTGGGTTTCACCGAAGTGGTAAACTTCTGAGACCTGCATCCCTTCGGGCCTTCCTCCCACATTAAGCTGACACGCCATGACACGTGGGTCTACTACAGATGTTTCAAATTGGGACCCTTAAACCTATATTTCCATACAAAAAGCCCTATCCTTACTTTCAAGTAACTGGTAATTCTATCCTTAACCGCACTTGTGTACAAAATATAGTCATCCTGTAACCTTTAATGCCAAAAGACGTTAAAAGATAGTACTTGTTATCCTGCCTTGTGGAATAAACAGGGAATGGTCAGTTCTGTGTCTGAGTGGGTTATCCATGTAAAACTGTATGGTGTTAGCATTGTAAAACAGCCATTCTGGACTAGTACAAGCAGCCACACACATGCATGAACGTCACCATATGAGTGAATTGATCTTGACAGCAATGTTAAACCCACATTTCAGCTCACCACACCTCAATAAGATCTTTGCGCCAATACTCATGCAATGACTTTAATTGACCTTTACTAAGTGACCTGTCAATTTCACTGAAAAGCGTACCTTCAGCTTACACCTGATACTGACATGGCCAGCCGGCATGTTCACAAGAATCTTGGGCACGAAGTGCGGACTGACACGCTTGTATCCACGCTCACGGAGAACCATCCCCGTCTTTGTGACTTCCTCAAGGTCAACCATCCCAGTTCCTATGGCAACGCCTGTGTAATTGATGAAATTAACGTCATATCAATTCAAAATTATATAATGAGCACATAATGAGTACACAAAGGATGTCCTTAGGGATGAGATAACACATCTTCTTCACAAGTGTCTATTTACTCAATCTCTTCCGGCTGTTTCATACCCAAAGACATTAAAAGATGGTACTTGATCCTGCCTGATGCTCGGAATTAAGTCAGTATACTGTGTCTCAGTGGGGTATCCATGTTATACTGTTGCAAGGTATCTCAGTGGGCTAGCACTATAAAACTAGTCAGGACTTGTACACATGGTATAAGCAACCATACATACGTTGATGTGCATTGCTACATATAAAAAATAATCTTGAATGCGACGTTAAACCAAGTGCTTAAAATACAGTCTATTTTGCTGGTCTTATTTTTAAAAGTTGTACGCCAAATGGTTGGGCTATTTTTGTATTCCCAAAATTTCCTTAGCGTCTAGGTTTAATTCAATGTCAGATGACAATCAACTGTAAACGTTAAACACATTATTCCGTCACTTTCGCCTATGTTGATATCAAGTGTCTGTCCTCATGCTATTCTTATGTGTACCCTTTTGTGACCTTTTTTTCGTTAATCAAAAAACTCTGCAAAGTTGCCAGTCCAGTTGTCTGACTGAAATTTTTGGGGATTTAAAACACTGTTAAACTTTTTACCTCAAAACACCGTTGTTACTGAATTACACATCACCATACAATAATTCACATACATCTGTCGTGTATAATACGCACAGACTTTTCTTTTGTATCATTTCATGCAGTCAGCATAAAACACAAAATTTACGATCTTTCAACTCTGTTTTTTCTCTCACCAAAATTTTATTCTAATAAGAGCCCCCTATTTCTACTTTTGTGAGCGCCCTGAGCGAATACAGTATTTGTGTTTTCAGTGGCCTGGTTCAACTTTCCAGAGCAAAAGTGTCACCATATGAAAATAGAATGGCAATACTCTTGCAGCACAAACCTGATCTATGTTCTTCCTCCTCACTGCCAGGGGACCATCCTGCAGATGCCATTGCTTCTTCTGCAGCCAGAACAGCATATGCAGCAGACAGTGGGATTTCTCTCAACGTGGCTGCAGAGAAGTGGCGGTCAAGGTCAAGGTTACCCTCCCCAGGTCCTCGTGGAACTTGACCTGCTACCTTACACGGAATGTTGTCATATTCTGGAAAGAAAGAACTATAATTGCTCAACAAAATAATATCTTTTATGGATAAGAATTTATGGAGGAACAACTTCTTTATTACAATTAAGAGCGACGTTTCGGTGTAGGTTCTAACACCATTATCAAGCAAGTGATGTACAGAGTATGGTTGACAAGTATATACAGGTAGGAGGCAATGTCTGTACAGTAGAGTAGATGTCAGATGTAGTTATACTGGAGTGGAGAAGCCTGTTATGTACACACAAGGGTAGTGATGACAATCAATGGTCAGTGACATAAACAAAGGATGAAGCGAGTAACATAAACAACCGAATTATGGCTGATTGGGGTCTTTGATGAGTTCATGGCACGCCGGGGGGGGGGGGGGGGGGGGCTTGGTCATGGTTGACTGACAGTTGGAGTCTTTTGATGTTGATGGCTTCTTCTTGTTTTCTGATTTTGAAGTCTTTGAGGTTGGTGGTGAGCAACAAGTGCAGCAAACAATACAGAATATCACCAAGAAATCACAGAAATCTCCCCTTACTTAGTACTCCAACTTCTAAATGGCTAGCAAAGAAGAAATATCTTTTATGAAGAATTATAACACTTGAAGTCAGCACTAACAGAGCCCCACATCACTAGATGCAGATGGTTCAGTTCAATCATGGTGAAAACTGACATTTGAACTTGAACAAATAGTTGACAAACCCCGAAAACCTCTGAACACCTTCCACATCATGCTAGGGTCAGACCCACAAGTCCTTGATCCAGTCCCGTGGTCACAGTCGCGAAATGTTTTGCAGAAATGCCCACTTAGTGCAGCATCTTGCAAAAAAACACACATAATGCAGAACGTGTGCAGAATTTTGCATTTACCTGCTGCAGAATTTGTCAAATGCACTGCAGAATTTCACCATGTGAGTTGAAAGCTGATTTTAAACATGTAAACAGATATTCATTTCATTTTCAAGTGAAGTTGACTTTTGTATTTTTGCTTACCAAAAGTGCATGTCTGTATGTTTTCACCAGTGGTTGGATTCACTTCAATAAGCTATTCTAGCCGTGGATATGTTTATAATTAAAATGCCTACCACAAGTCCAACCGGTGCAAAATTACAGAATTCACAAAAACTAAGCTTAAAAGTTTGCACAATTGTGTGCACAATTGTCAAAAGTTGGTTGCAGAATTTAGAAAAATTTACCACAGAATTTTGATTTTGTGGCCACAGAATACCGTGAGGATTGTTGATCTATAAACATGATGAAGAGATGTCCCAGGAAGGACCCTTCCATTCTGTACACATGGAGTTTCCCTTGTTCCCACTCAATACATTGCTTCTGACAATGCTGAAAAAAGCCTTTGAGATTCTTGTCATATCTCTCTGTGCCTCTGTCTTTGTGATCTATATGTCAGTGCATGATCAACACTATACTTCACACCAGTCTACAGCCTGAATCAGTCTGATCTGGAATATCTCTCTGTGCCTCTGTCTTTGTGATCTATATATCAGTGCATGATCAAAAGTATACTTCACACCAGTCTACAGCCTGAATCAGTCTGATCTGGAATATCTATCTGTGTAGTCTTCTCCACCCTGTCCACTAATATGTACTGATTGAGGTTCCAAAGGTTCACATATGCCAGAACCCAGTTGAGAGATCACAGTTGAGAATGCTTTCGCCTTACTCTAGTCAGACAATACATTATTAGTTGCCAGCAACTGACAATGTGTAGTACTTTGGTTCATGGCAAATTCTCATCTCACTAGATTTCTTTCTGTGGGCTTGTCAACCTGCTCAAATACCTAAACGTCAAGTAAACAACAGATTGGCACTCAGATCTATTTACTGATGGTAGCTATACCATCAGATCAACTTGTAAGTCTACCTTGATCTACTAGACCCGGGAGAATAAATAATAAAATGAATCCAACTCAACATGCTCAAAGTCTAGAATTATTTGGCAAAGTTAGACTGCATGAGCTCTTGGAATTAAGCATTGTTCTGGGTTCCATTTGGATTTTATTTGTTATTTTTGCCTAGATATATATTTTGAAATAAAATAACTTTTTTTAACTGGGACAAAATGCGAGTTCACTCTGTTAGGTAATGTTTCAAATCCTCCATGAAATGTCATCATTCTTTCACTATTTGGTAAGAAGTAACAGAACTCTAGCTGTCTTACCTGAGCCTGTCAGTTTACTGATCCCACATTCTCCATTTGTTAGTCTCCGCCAGACGTGCTTCACCCCAACACCTAACGATGTCACCAGCCCTACTCCAGTCACCACAACGCGCCGGCCGCTCGGGCTGATGCCAGACATCGTCCCACGCTCGTCTTCACCGTCTTTCTCCTACAGTATCTAACCCGTTAATCGTGTTTCCACAGAGGAGTCAAAAGCAGCCCGAGACACATCGGGAACTGCCAAGAAATAACATTAATCGGGTTAATGTTCTTGCTGAAGTGATGTCAATAATGCGCTATATGGGCGCAGACATATTGAAGCTTCGCAGCAACGGGGACATACATAATTTGGAAGTTGAATGCGAAACGAAGAAAATACCGCATTCATAGCTCGCGATCACAGTTTCCAAATAACACGTGAAAAACATTTGACAGCCATTTCATAAATGCAGAGACCATATTACTTTTAATTGGCCATTTTGAACATATTTACGACCGTGCCGACTGGCTCCTACAAGCACTGCACATCTTTCAGGAATAACATAATTCTCTATAAATTATTTAATTAAATTATGAACTTATAAAGAGGCACTGATCTACAGCAATTCCCGGGAACTGGTTGTTGCATTTGTTATTGTATTTTCCCCATGAGTACCCGGATGATATCTCAGAAATCTGGACTAGTTCGCGACCTATGTTGCCCCAACAGTAAGCATGCACATTTGTCGCGGGCGGTCGGGTAGCCTAGAGGTTAAAGCGTTCGCTCGTCACGCCGAATACCCGGGTTCGATTCCCGACATGGGTACAATGTGTGAAGCCCATTTCTAGTGTCCCCCGCCGTGATATTGCTGGAATATTGCTAAAAGCGGCGTAAAACCATACTCACTCACTCACATTTGTCGCTTTTATTGATGGTATAAGAGCATATCACCACATTGATCAACAAAATGAAATACATTTTTTTAAATAATAAGGCAATGTAGGTATCTTTTGTGGTAACATCGGTATTGGTGACGACGTTTTGATAAGTCACTTGCTCGATATTGTGCGATTTTCGTATACACTATTTTGACACAAACTAAATATTTCAACTGAGCATTGCTTATTCCATTGTGTGTATATGTTGTCTAGTAAACGTATGACATGACAAGACAATTCACTTGAGCAATTCATTAAGCGCTAAAATATTAAATTATTTTACAAATTGACTGAAATATCTGTCAAATAATGTTATTACGATAACGATTTCCAAACTGTTTGATGTTTAATTTCATCATCCATGGACTGAAAAGGATAGACTAAAAGAAAACGAAAGTCAAAGTACATTTCTATATATTTTCTTATCCTGCCGTAATTAGTTTATTGTGATGTTTAAAGTCCTTTTGAACGTCTTAATAATTTTTTAGTCAATTTGTTTAATAAATGGACAGATTTTTCAGTCAGTTTTTAAAATGGCAGAAATATTAAGAAATTTTATTAATTGCCTGAGTGAATCACATTTCACACTCACACTGTCTGTATCATATACACGTTTACAAACGAAAAGGTAAAAACGGCGTTAAACCCACTCACTCACTCACTACAAACGAAAAGGCTTGTGAAAACAACGACTTAGTGTTGACTGTCTCGCAACGAAGAACTTCCCAACGAACAAGGAAGAGGAACAAGAAAGATTCTGACCAATGCTACAGCAAATGAATGGAAACAAAATGCAAATATCGTTATTACAACCGATCAAAGTTCTAGTATATGTGTTGCTCGAGGAATGTATCCGTGAATATGCACGTAAAGGAAAATATCCCGTATGTCTGCAGCTGTACAAAGAAAAACTTGTTCGATGACAAGTATCTTTGTAACAATCCAACGCACAGTAAAGTTCTCACTCTCAGGCACAATATAGTAATAATTAAATAAGTGGAGTAGGATTGAACACAGTCTTTATTGGCTAGCGTTTCGGGAAATTATAACTGTCCGTTTCTCAGCTGATCACGTTAGTGTGTTTTAGGGGTCTGACATAGGTGTCAAGTATCATAGGTCAGCTGAAAATATTGTTATGGCTTTTATTGATAAACGTAGCCATAACATAATCAGACTCTTTAACGTCAATTCTATGTAGATCTACTTGGTTAGTCAGTGCAATAAGTTCTGTTTCGTTTTATCACAGTATTATTCGATTTGACATTTTAGAATCAACATTAGTTGTTTTGGTTTTTTTTTTATTTCGGAAAAAATAAGTCAATGAAAGAAAATATGATAAGAATTATCGTTGATTAAGTTTAACACTTATTTCTGGGAATCATAACCATTACACGAAACTATTGTCCAATCAAGTTTCGCCATAACCCGTTACTGCGGAGCATGAACATCGACGCAGATAGTTTACATGGAGGCAAGGTGACGACACGGATCGATAGGAACGCTCGGTTTCCTTGTTTTATTTCCAGCTGAGGTTACAGAGGTTATCATTTCCATTTCCAAGATGATGAGTGAAAGACTTCAACGTCCGATGAGCGCGGCATCTGACGCCCTTTCCTACATGACCGAAGGTGGTCTTAGTGATCATGGGAGTCAACGAAAGACCGGGCCGTACTTGGAGGGAAATATGAAATTGCTGGACACAATGTAAGCAATATTTCTTCAGCTTCTAGTAATAGAGTTTGTGGGAAAATCTGTCACAGCTCCACCATGATCATTTCATATTTTCCATTGTCTAATATCTACTTAAAAATATAATCTCGAACATTACTTCCGATGATATTACTAATTAGAATAAATAACTAGAGCGGGTGGGGCAGTACTCCGGACACTTATTTTTCTTAACGGCATGCAAGTTGAACAAAAGTACCCATTGGCTTTCATTCGTTGTATTTGTGAAGGGAGTTAACTGTTTTGTTGATTATTGTCGGTAGTGGTCGTGTTTGTGCGCTTGTTTTAGCAAATTCTTAGAGTATTTCCATGACCACTACTCCAGTAGTAATCAGACGCCTGAGGTTGAAGTCGCACACACTTGCGACAGTACCTGGACACTTTAAGAATTTTTTAGAAAATGTCTTACCCGAATATAGTATAATTTCAATTTGATTTATCTGTAACAATTGTTTTTCTTATTGTATCAGTGAGAACATGAAAATAATAGCAAAAAAATACAACTTAATTGGTTTGCCCCACTCGTTTTTGTATCACTGCACAGATACATGTGTTTTCTCATATTGACAGTAGTTTTATTCTCAGTCACTAAACCCAAACATTGTCACCACTGAATCCTGTTTCATTTAGTCTATTATTTTGAATAAAGTACAAAGTTGTGGCCACCTTGTTACGCGTGGAAGTTGGTGAAATAATAGAAAAAAAATCGCGTTATGGTGTTCCTCAAGCATTTGCGATTCTAATGATATAAGTTTTATTACAAAATTCAGAACATGAAGTTTGCAGTTACCAGTTGAAATTACCCTACTGTTTTGCATGATTTTTTTAACATTTTCCCTTTCTAAGACAAGATTACTGTTATTTTTTTTCAAAAGTACTTTATACAAACATAATGAATGTATGTTACTATTTGTGTCTTTCTTCGTGTAAGTTAATACTTTTTTTATAACAAAAAGGGGAAAAATGTAAAAACAGGCCAAATTGAATTTCTACACAGAGTTATGGGAATTAAATTGCTGCGTAGGCAAGAGGCCATCCTGGCTGTTAAGTTAGATAACAATGAGCAATCAATCAACGTATTATTGGTTAACCCTTTGAACAAAGTATGTTGCTTCACATCGGCACTACACTCCACTCCCTTATGTTTACTAAACCTACATATGCAAACACTTAGTTTTGACATATCCACTGTGCAAGATAACAGTGATTAATCAATCAACATATTTTCTGTTGATCCTTTAATGGCTAGGAATGATCCGTTGATTTACAAAAAAGTAAATCAACTGATCATTCATCTCTTGCTGGGCTTCCTCATGCAAATTACATAACACACATTTCACCTAACTTCAAACCTGGATTTAGATTGAATAATTACCCCAGACACAAGAAATGCCAAATGGGAACCTTTATCAGGTAATCTGAGTGGTGCTACCACTAATTATACCCATAATAAATTCATTAACTGAGCATCTAGTGAATGACAACAAATACACAAGTGTAAGGGTATACCAGAAAAAACTCGGATGACAACAAGGGAGAAGTAATCGTATTATCCCCGCAATCCAAAATCTGAAAATGCTTTCACTGCAGGGATACCTTTTTATTATTAAACTATAACCATCAGGGGTAATTCCAAATGTTGACATCCGATGAGCTTCAGCTTCACTTTTTGTCTGTATGTTGGTGCTGAAGAAATTAATTAACATGTGCCCTTTGTCGAAATCTTCATCGATCACCAATCACGGGTAACCAATCAGTGTTCAAAAATGCGTAAAACAAATATTGCCTCCAAGTTTATTTACGCTGTCTTTACAGATGGTAGCCCAGTCTCTTGTCACGCTCAGTTGTGTTAGCGAGCAAATCGACTCATTGCAGCTAGCAGCTAGGGGCCAGTGTCAGACAGCCAAGAAGAAGCCAGAGATTAGTGCCCCTTTAAGATAGTTTAAACCAGATTCATTCAAATACCAACACATTTTTACAAAAAAATGGCAACTACTTAATTATTTTGTGACATGGATCAGAAACGAAAACAGCAACATATTTTCATTAACCCTTTTCGTTGTTAAGAAACTAAATATCTATTTTAATATGGTCATCTTCCTGAGGCAAGGGAATTAACTGACTATAAAAGTCCAGTTTCCAACCTTGCCAAACTAGGCTGGAATTTTGGGGTTTGATCTTAGAACCACAACAGCATTAGAAACTAACAGTTTTCATCCACTAGTCCTTATGATGATAACATATATAGCAAAACTCTTAAAAAGGGCAAATTTCTACTAGTCATTATGATACCTTTACCATTGGGCAGTTTGGTAAGGACTATAGGAACTAGTGCCAATTTCTAATACTGCACAATGGCTATTACAAGTTATGTCCCTTCTTTTTCCCTCCTATTGACCAATAAGATTCCACTTGCATTTGCTTCAAATGGCGGCACCCAGTCAAGACAATCTGATTGATATTAAAGATCTATATTGTGCTAAAATGGGCCTCACCTTGCAAAGTGCATCAAATTACTTGAGCACCATGATTAAAAGCGGGAAAAGATAATTAATTAAACATAGATCATCCATATTTAATGTCAATCTTAGAAATTACATTCAGTACTTTCCCTGAGGAACCCCCCACCCTGTACCGAACTAATAGTGTTGTCTTGATACAGAGATTTCTCTCTTCCTGAGGTATACCACGGTATACAAGCCTCTTCCATAGGTAGAGAAACACCATGGTATACAAGCCTCTTCCATAGGTAGAGAAACATCATGGTATACAAGCCTCTTCCATAGATAGAGAAACATCATGGTATACAAGCCTCTTCCATAGGTAGAGAAACATCATGGTATACAAGCCTCTTTCATAGGTTGAGAAACATCATGGTATAAAAGCCTCTTCCATAGGTAGAGAAACATCATGGTATACAAGCCTCTTCCATAGGTAGAGAAACACCACAGTATACAAGCCTCTTCCATAGGTTGAGAAACACCATGGTATACAAGCCTCTTCCATAGGTAGAGAAACACCACAGTATACAAGCCTCTTCCATAGGTTGAGAAACACCATGGTATACAAGCCTCTTCCATAGGTAAAGAAACATCATGGTATACAAGCCTCTTCCATAGGTTGAGAAACATCATGGTATACAAGCCTCTTCCATAGGTAGAGAAACACCACAGTATACAAGCCTCTTCCATAGGTTGAGAAACACCATGGTATACAAGCCTCTTCCATAGGTAGAGAAACATCATGGTATACAAGCCTCTTCCATAGGTAGAGAAACATCATGGTATGCAAGCCTCTTCCATAGGTAGAGAAAACATCATGGTATACAAGCCTCTTCCATAGGTAGAGAAACATCATGGTATACAAGCCTCTTCCATAGGTAGAGAAACACCATGGTATACAAGCCTCTTCCATAGGTAGGGAAACATCAGGGTTTTCAAGCCTCTTCCATAGGTAGGGAAACATCATGGTTTTCAAGCCTCTTCCATAGGTAGAGAAACACCATGGTATACAAGCCTCTTCCATAGGCAGAGAAACATCATGGTATACAAGCCTCTTCCACAGGTAGAGAAACACCATGGTATACAAGCCTCTTCCATAGGTAGAGAAATATCATGGTATACCAGCCTCTTCCATAGGTAGAGAAACATCATGGTATACAAGCCTCTTCCATAGGTAGAGAATCATCATGGTATACAAGCCTCTTCCATAGGTAGAGAAAACATCATGGTATACAAGCCTCTTCCATAGGTAGAGAAACATCATGGTATACAAGCCTCTTCCATAGGTAGAGAAACACCATGGTATACAAGCCTCTTCCATAGGTAGAGAAACATCATGGTATACAAGCCTCTTCCATAGGTAGAGAAACACCACAGTATACAAGCCTCTTCCATAGGTAGAAAAACATCATGGTATACAAGCCTCTTCCATAGGTAGAGAAACACCACAGTATACAAGCCTCTTCCATAGGTAGAGAAACATCATGGTATGCAAGCCTCTTCCATAGGTAGAGAAAACATCATGGTATACAAGCCTCTTCCATAGGTAGAGAAACATCATGGTATACAAGCCTCTTCCATAGGTAGAGAAACATCATGGTATACAAGCCTCTTCCATAGGTAGAGAAACACCACGGTATACAAGCCTCTTCCATAGGTAGAGAAGCATCATGGTATACAAGCCTCTTCCATAGGTAGAGAAACATCATGGTATACAAGCCTCTTCCATAGGTAGAGAAACACCACAGTATACAAGCCTCTTCCATAGGTAGAAAAACATCATGGTATACAAGCCTCTTCCATAGGTAGAGAAATATCATGGTATACCAGCCTCTTCCATAGGTAGAGAAACATCATGGTATACAAGCCTCTTCCATAGGTAGAGAATCATCATGGTATACAAGCCTCTTCCATAGGTAGAGAAAACATCATGGTATACAAGCCTCTTCCATAGGTAGAGAAACATCATGGTATACAAGCCTCTTCCATAGGTAGAGAAACACCATGGTATACAAGCCTCTTCCATAGGTAGAGAAACATCATGGTATACAAGCCTCTTCCATAGGTAGAGAAACACCACAGTATACAAGCCTCTTCCATAGGTAGAAAAACATCATGGTATACAAGCCTCTTCCATAGGTAGAGAAACACCACAGTATACAAGCCTCTTCCATAGGTAGAGAAACATCATGGTATGCAAGCCTCTTCCATAGGTAGAGAAAACATCATGGTATACAAGCCTCTTCCATAGGTAGAGAAACATCATGGTATACAAGCCTCTTCCATAGGTAGAGAAACATCATGGTATACAAGCCTCTTCCATAGGTAGAGAAACACCACGGTATACAAGCCTCTTCCATAGGTAGAGAAGCATCATGGTATACAAGCCTCTTCCATAGGTAGAGAAACATCATGGTATACAAGCCTCTTCCATAGGTAGAGAAACACCACGGTATACAAGCCTCTTCCATAGGTAGAGAAAACATCATGGTATACAAGCCTCTTCCATAGGTAGAGAAACACCATGGTATGCAAGCCTCTTCCATAGGTAGAGAAACATCATGGTATACAAGCCTCTTCCATAGGTAGAGAAACACCACGGTATACAAGCCTCTTCCATAGGTAGAGAAAACATCATGGTATACAAGCCTCTTCCATAGGTAGAGAAACATCATGGTATACAAGCCTCTTCCATAGGTAGAGAACATCATGGTATACATGCCTCTTCCATAGATAGAGAAACACCATGGTATACAAGCCTCTTCCATAGGTAGAGAAACACCACGGTATACAAGCCTCTTCCATAGGTAGAGAAAACATCATGGTATACAAGCCTCTTCCATAGGTAGAGAAACACCACGGTATACAAGCCTCTTCCATAGGTAGAGAAACATCATGGTATACAAGCCTCCTCCATAGGTAGAGAAACATCATGGTATACAAGCCTCTTCCATAGGTAGAGAAACATCATGGTATACAAGCCTCTTCCATAGGTAGAGAAACACCACGGTATACAAGCCTCTTCCATAGGTAGAGAAAACATCATGGTATACAAGCCTCTTCCATAGGTAGAGAAACACCATGGTATGCAAGCCTCTTCCATAGGTAGAGAAACATCATGGTATACAAGCCTCTTCCATAGGTAGAGAAACACCATGGTATAGAAGCCTCTTCCACAGGTAGAGAAACATCATGGTATACAAGCCTCTTCCATAGGTAGAGAAACACCATGGTATACAAGCCTCTTCCATAGGTAGAGAAACACCATGGTATGCAAGCCTCTTCCATAGGTAGAGAAACATCATGGTATACAAGCCTCTTCCATAGGTAGAGAAACACCATGGTATAGAAGCCTCTTCCACAGGTAGAGAAACATCATGGTATACAAGCCTTTTCCATAGGTAGAGAAACATCATGGTATACAAGCCTCTTCCATAGGTAGAGAAACATCATGGTATACAAGCCTCTTCCATAGGTAGAGAAACACCACGGTATACAAGCCTCTTCCATAGGTAGAGAAAACATCATGGTATACAAGCCTCTTCCATAGGTAGAGAAACACCATGGTATACAAGCCTCTTCCATAGGTAGAGAAACACCATGGTATGCAAGCCTCTTCCATAGGTAGAGAAACATCATGGTATACAAGCCTCTTCCATAGGTAGAGAAACACCATGGTATAGAAGCCTCTTCCACAGGTAGAGAAACATCATGGTATACAAGCCTCTTCCATAGGTAGAGAAACACCATGGTATACAAGCCTCTTCCATAGGTAGAGAAACACCATGGTATGCAAGCCTCTTCCATAGGTAGAGAAACATCATGGTATACAAGCCTCTTCCATAGGTAGAGAAACACCATTGTATAGAAGCCTCTTCCACAGGTAGAGAAACATCATGGTATACAAGCCTTTTCCATAGGTAGAGAAACATCATGGTATACAAGCCTCTTCCATAGGTAGAGAAACATCATGGTATACAAGCCTCTTCCATAGGTAGAGAAACACCACGGTATACAAGCCTCTTCCATAGGTAGAGAAAACATCATGGTATACAAGCCTCTTCCATAGGTAGAGAAACACCATGGTATACAAGCCTCTTCCATAGGTAGAGAAACACCATGGTATACAAGCCTCTTCCATAGGTAGAGAAACACCATGGTATACAAGCCTCTTCCATAGGTAGAGAAACATCATGGTATACAAGCCTCTTCCATAGGTAGAGAAACATCATGGTATACAAGCCTCTTCCATAGGTAGAGAAACACCATGGTATAGAAGCCTCTTCCACAGGTAGAGAAACATCATGGTATACAAGCCTTTTCCATAGGTAGAGAAACATCATGGTATACAAGCCTCTTCCATAGGTAGAGAAACATCATGGTGTACAAGCCTCTTCCATAGGTAGAGAAACATCATGGTATACAAGCCTCTTCCATAGGTAGAGAAACATCATGGTATACAAGCCTCTTCCATAGGTAGAGAAACATCATAGTATACAAGCCTCTTCCAGAGGTAGAGAAAACATCATGAGCACAACTCAAACCAGCTGTTTAACTTGTTCAATTCTGAATTAGCATAATCACTCAACATACTGATTAATGAGAGGTGTCTCCAATGTTTGTACATAGTCCTTGAACGGGGTTGTTTCCTAGCTGAGGAACAATCTGTATTATTGGACAAACGTGGATGACTCTTTTACGTAAGAAGTCAAATCCTCTGAATCTGTAACCATGGTAACACGTGATCAGGGTTCACTCTAGGACATTTCTGACATGGGCCCTTTATGTGAAAATCATGTTAAAATGCCCTATTGTACCTGAAAATGTGGGCCTTTTAGTTCTATTCAATTTAGGGGCTAAAAGCATGAGGCCCCACCCTAGAATTATCCCTGCGTGTTTAACTCACTTTTGGTAAATGTTGACCTTGTGTTTCAATTATTTATTGTGTTATAATTTTTAATTGGGTAACCAATATTTTTTCACTCATCTTTTCATCACTCTATTGGATTTTCCCCAAAAATGAGTAAACATTTTAAGATTTAAAAAAAAAATATACCGGTAATAATATTTTAGATGTATTTAACGGTTCTAACTATGGCTTGATTCGGAAAGTAAATTAGCTCGTAATTGTGTTTTGGAAATTAGCTCTGTCTACACATGCTGAAAAAGCTTCATTTATGCATACTGTTTTTATACATTAGAGTTTTTCATTTAATGCATGCGTAATGTACGCAAGTTAATTGAAAGTGATTGGGTTTTGAATATTTTTGGCGGGTATTTTACGCAAATATGCATCCTATCTTTAGCCCTGCGTAACTAAATGCCAGGAATATAGGTCCCAAGCATATGGAAACAGGCACCAACATTGAGTAAGTGAGTTGTGTTTAACGCCGCTTTTAACAGTATTCCAGTTATATCACGGCGTGTCAGCTTAATGTGGGAGGTAAGCCTGAAGTGATGCAGGTCTCAGACCTTTACCACTTCAGTGAAACCCACGAGCACGAGTATGGTGCTGACAAACCTAGAAACATTGGGGCGAACCGGGATTCAAACCCACAATCATAGGTTTCTGGCGTGCCCAAGGGACGCAACTTTGCACAGCGAATCGCAGCACCTTAGACGACTGGGACACCCGTGCCCCCGCACCAACATTGACTATTGATTACCATACATTTCTACTTGACACCATCTTCCAAAGGCAAGAGAGTTAATTGACTATAAAAGTCAAGTTTTCACCCTTGCGGAACTAGGCTGGAATAGCCACTGGTGACGTGATGATCAAGCCACGAAATTCCAGCCTAGTTCACCAAGGGTGGAAACTTTTTTTACAGTCAGTTAACTCCCTTGCCTCGGGAAGATGGTCGTTGTATGCCATGATATTGATGTATCAATAAAAATTTAATGTCGATACTGTATCAATACATATCTATGAATATTGATACTAAAGTAATTCACTGTCACAGAAATGTTTACATGTCTTAGATTACCTTGGTTAAGATGGACAATGAAAGGGCAGATCATTCTATTTTAAATATTTAATGGATCATATTTATATTTTTAGCGGTACCCCGCTAGGGACGCATTCACACGTGCAACTCGCAGTAAACACAAAATTCATAGGTAGAGGATTTATTCAGATGCATGTCAAATACGGGAGCCATCGCATATCACACAACAAATATAGTTACTCAAATACACATCATAGACTCCGTGAACACCATGGTTCCTCTTCATTTACATCGAACATCGCAGTTTTCCCAATTCTCAATCACATGCTTTCATCACATCAAATCGGGTTTTTTCTACTAAGGGAGATAATTCTATAAACTCATGTTCTGTGCATACCACTAAGAATATCTGGTTCCACCGCTTTGTCCTACCGCTACAATATTCATATTTAGCATTAAATTGATAATTGCAGGTCTACAAGGTTTATTTACACAATAGCTAATATTATTAATTGATATTTTGATATATCGTGAGACTTTTAAGGCAGTATACAAATGTTTTGAAACAAAAATTTCCAATCAATGAAACCCTTAATTTAAAGACATTAAACAGTTTACACATGTTAGTAATCTCTCTGAAGTACTGTGTAAGGCAGTTCACCTCTAGAACCAGTGATTTGGTTACAGCACTGGTTTATTTTATTACCTTCAAGTGCATGTATAATTTCTGTTTGCGTGTTGACATGAAACTCTATTTCAAGCCTTTGGTCCTGTAATCATCTATTGATCTTGTATTTGTTTATGTCTTTATGATCGATCATCTGATTGGATGTTGTGTTGCAGCGAGTGCCCGATTGACATCATGTGCTGTCGGTTCAGTGCAGACGGTGCTCACCTTGCTGTTGGACTTTGCGACGGATCAATAAAAGTAAGATTACACAAACATGTTTTCCAAGTAATTAACCCACACAAGAGAATTGGCAGTTAAGAGGAAACATTACATTTGTTTCCAAGGGAACAACAAACATTGACACATGGCTGTGAATAGTATTAAGGATGGAAATCATAGGACCCTAGTCCTAACCCTTATGTTCAGGATTAAACACTTAGGGGGCCCTTGACATGCTAGTAGGGCTGGGACGAGTCCAAATTTATACCCACACCCAATTACCCGACCCTACCTGGGTACCCACTGTAGGTCTCAGGAGATGTCTCAATATGTCCGATTGGGAACATTTTTAGCATAGCCCTGGCAATACGTATTTAGATACATGTATTAAACAATCTGGTCATCCATACACTGAAGTTGAATTAAGTAAAGTTATATCTTTATTCAACCATATGAAAAATCAGAAGGAATGGTTGCATAGAAATGTGAACATTAGTGACTTTAGTGTAACCATAGAGTTCTAGATAATTTTTGTCATTAAACAATATATCAAGTGACTAACCACGGGTCCAGGTAGTCCTGTGGGTACCTGGGTTCTACTCAGTACCCACCAAACCTGGGTACCCGAGATACCCGTCCCAGCCATACATGCTAGATTGATGTAGGATGTCAGGAAACCTTGTGGACACCACGATGACTTTGTAATTTCTAACACTGATAGGCATGTCGTCATCATGCTGATTTGTAAAGTGACACATTTCTGAAGTATACCCAAATCATGGTGTTGAAACTTGAGATTTACAGGGATAACTGTATTGTCAGACACCATGGTCATTATTTGGTTGGCAGTGTATTTTTGTTTGGTCTTGAAGTGTTAGAAACTGGCACTAGTTCTATAGTCCTTGCCAAACTGCCCAATAGTTAAGGCAGTGTTAGAAATTGGCACTAGTCCTATAGTCCTTGCCAAACTGCCCAATAGTTAAGGCAGTGTTAGAAATTGGCACTTGTCCTATAGTCCTTGCCAAACTGCCCAATAGTTAAGGCAGTGTTAGAAATTGGCACTAGTCCTTTAGTCCTTGCCAAACTGCCCAATAGTTAAGGCAGTGTTAGAAATTGACACTAGTTCTATAGTCCTTGCCAAACTGTCCAAAAGCTAAGCTATCCTAAGGACTAGTAGAAATTTGCCCTTTTTGAAAGGTTTTGCTGCATGTATCAAATATGCTTGTGAATAAGGGTGTCATTTATGATCATATTGTTGTTAAGCTGGGTTGTGGAAATATCAGACTTGTTCATGAGCTTGTCCCAGACAAGTAAACAGTTCAAATTCATTTGTCCACAGACAAATCTACTTGTCCAGATTATAGGCACGAAAGGGTGGTTTTTTTTCTCACAAAGTTGGTTTCTTACAGCCTGTGTTTTTTGTTTTGATGCTGATGAACCAGTTTTCATATCTCTGTAGCTTTTCCCATCCAGAAAATGAATTCATCCATTTCTAGGTCGTATGAAGACCATACATTTTAAGCAGCCAGTACAATCTGCCTTGACTTTCGTAAACAGTATATTGTGCAATTGGCTACACGGCACTCTAATCAACCAATCAGAGGCTGTGTCTAAGGAGTGATTGAAATCAGAACAAGAAAGTAAACAATGCTGTTAGCAGGGTCAGAGAGATTCATCATACTCACGATGTTTACAGTATGTCGGAGTAATAATATGTAGTACTTGTTACAAATATTTTATCAAAATTGACTATGATCTTCTAAGTTTAAGGGCAGTGGATATGACTTTTCTGTTCGGTCAGCAATGTTTTTGTTTGGCCAGCAATCTCACATAACAAGTCTGGCAGGTTGGGCATTGATTTTCCACACCCTGCCTCAATACTTCTGTGTAACTGTGTTTACTGTACCCCCAGCACGCACAAGTGTAGAGAATGGACGTGGAAAAATATATATTACATCCCAGGGGACACTCAATTATATTCATTGTATCTACAGCGTAACAAGAGCAGTAATGGCGTCTGTTATTTCATCCATCAATCATGAACACTGTCCACATGATCATTGATTCATTTCAGGTTCTTGGTCAAATAAATGTACAGGACCTCATATTGCCCGCAAGGACCATTAAACATGTTAAAATTGATTAATGGGGGTCCCTTACTCTTGTAAGTCAAGGTAAAACCCTTCTCCCAGGGTTCATCATATATCTTGGCCAACGAGACAAATACTTCTTACATTTAATGAGCACCAGTTTCATTGAGGTGGTCTAAATGTGGGAAACATGATTCATCAGTCTCAAGATTAATCAAAGACACTGTATTGAAATTTACTTTGAGCATGTAACATGATGTAAGGTAGTTTGTGTCACAGCAGTTTTCAGCAGATAATATTTGAGTTTCAATGCTGAAAATCTATTTTGACTGTCTTTGTTGAAACTATTGACAACCTATTCAGGTGAGCTACGGTCCCATGGCACCATGTTTTCAGTGTTGTCTCTGTCATGCTCACAGTTCAACTGTTGGCAACTCATTCCACTAACATCAAGCATGATTTGTTTGGACACGTTTTAGACAGAGAAAATATTACACTGTATGTCTATATCTAGCATGCCTAATGTAGAGGTTTTTTTTAATGTTTTTTATCCAACTTCAATGATAATTGTCTAATAATCTGTTATGTTCTATGAGCAATGCGTTACGATTGTATCACTTGATGCCAGACCCATGAACATCCGGGGTAGAATAGGTCTTCAGCAACCCATGCTTGCCGTAAGAGGTGACTATGCTTGTCGTAAGAGGAGACTAACATGATCGGGTGGTCAGGCTTGCTGACTTGGTTGATGTATGTCATCATATCCCAATTAGATCGATGCTCATGATGTCAATCTCTGGATTGTCTGGTCCAGACTTGATTATTTACAGACCACTGTCATATAGCTGGAATATTATTGAGTGCAGCGTTAAACAACAAACAAACAAACAAACAAACAAACACTTGATGCCCTTTTCAGCACCTAATGCCTGTTGGGTTTGTTTATTTATCGCACTGTTTACCTCTAGGTGTCACTGCCCAGAGAAACTCAATACACACAGAATATGAGACTGGCTTCTAAGGAAGGACTGTTAATCTTTTATTATTGTCCTGAGTCACTGGCTGATCTGGGATATAAGTGTCCCAGTGTCAGTTAAACCCATGTAATTGACTGTTTGATATCCATTGTGCTGAAGACAGCCCAGTCAGGTATACACTGAATGTGGATTAAACTACCCCCTGCTGCCAGGACTGGTGTGTCCTGTCTAAGCCCCATGTTTTTCATGTGTAGGTAGTTCATTGTTTGTGAAAACCCACAAACAAGCATTCTGTATACATTTCAGTTTAAATTCTTTGGCAATTTGCATGAAAGCATGGCTTATATGTTCTTAGGATTCTCTTTCAAAAAGACGGTAAATTCTTCTTTATTTGTAAATGATATACCATATTTGACTTAATAAGCGCCCAGGCGCTCTCAAAATTAGAAATAGGGGTCTCTTATTAGAATATTATTTTTGGAAACAAAACCAGAGTTTAAAGATCATAAATTTTGTGGTTTATGCTGACAGCCTGAAAGGTTTATATACAACATATATATATTTCCAGGATTGCATTGCCCATAATTAAGGGTGCATATAACACACGAATGTGTATTATGCATGAATAGATAAGTCTTGTGTACATTGATCAGTCGGAATGGTTGCTAATTGGAATTGTTCACCAGCTAATATATAGAGGTTATCACGCGAGTGTGTTTGGGGATGGTAAATATCCTGCATTAGGAATAAACATTGTATTTAGCGAGCCTTGTATATTAGACTGTTCGTTTGATAATGATAGCAATTATCCCTGTAGTTTATCCAGATTCACGATGGTTAATTCTGACTCGATCGCCGAATGACGAGGGCAACGCCATGTTTGTTTATAAACAGTGAAAGTAGTCCTACTTGACCTTTGATATTTGCATCTCTATCCGCATATGACCCCAACGGATATCTTTTTTATCCGTTGGCTTTATCCTGCCGAGAAACCTACCCATTATATGATAAATTAGCTTATTAGAGTCGGGCACTTATTGCGTCGAATACGGTACTGGCAAAATTCATCAGCTGCATGTTTATAGAATGACCTTGATCAAGGAAGTACTGAACGTCTCATTGCCCAGTCTTTTGTGAGAAACCTCCAGTATCAACATGATGACTTCATGAGGGACAGATTCTGTCATTCCGAGTGGCAAGCCTGTTTATGTCACCTATAGTCTTTTCTTCTGAGTAAATGTACGAAAAATGTGTTCTTTAATGATTACAAATGGAGGCATCAGCTCAACTACAGTAGTCAATTGTAGTCAAATCTATCCTAGTGCCGTCACATAAGTATTGTCAAAGAGCATGATTGTGAACATTTGAGATAATCATTATTCGTTCTCTACAGGTCATACTTTCATCGATGCCATGTACAGAGTACCCAATAAATCTTGTGTCTGATATTCCTCCATCAGAGCTCCAGATAAGCTTTTGGTGTTGTGGGTATTTTACCCATGCATTTTAAAATCATTGGGTATCAGTAATTCTATCTGCGTATTCAAATTTCTGTTACCCACTAGTTTTTACACATGTGGGTATTTAAGTTAAATATTTAAAAACACTATTCATCTAGTCCCTGCAAACTGGTGTCGTGTGGGTTCGAGAGCTTTATAGGACTCAAAAATACCACGATACTTCCACACGAAAGTGTGATGGCAAATGATCATGATGTAACTGTCATCGTGGAGTTTGGCAAGGTTGACGGAATGCCCGTTTATAATTTCAAAATAAGTTGCTGATTTGCTAATCGAATACGCAGGGTTACTTCACAATATTTTGATTATACGCACAAATTTTATTTTTGTAGCGTATCTGAAATGTTTGTTGCGTATTTGATACGCTTGGATTATATTTTACTGCGTATTTCTGCATTTCTGATGCGTATTTCACGCAGATACGCAGCTTATCTGGAGCTCTGTCCATCATCTGAACATTAGAAGGATGGTCTGTAGACTTAAAGATTCAACTCCCTTAGTCAGTAGGCAGTAAAATCAACACCCACAGGTTTTGAAATGTTATCTTGTCAGTTAATGGCCACACACAGCAGTGTTTATGTTTATTGTATTTTGGGGTCAATTATTTTTACAATGGAACGAGTGTTCACCAAACAGACTCTATCGACCACTGTGTAATGCTGTTTCTGTAATGATGACAATGCAATGTACAATGCCTATTTGGACAAGGAACAGGTCTAGTCACTTTTTGCTTTACCATGTTTACACTGCTTAGCATAGATAAGCAGTGAATTTATTTTTTTCTGACGGAACAGTATTACTTTTTAATTTCTCTTGGATTTCTCTACCATATTCTTTAAACCAATCGATCAATGAAGAGTAATGAGTCCAGGGCAATGTCATTAATATCAGATCTAATTTCTGGCTGCCGTTAAACAAAGATTTGAGGACATCCAATTACAGGTCACGTCAGAACGACCTTTCGTAAACTTTGACCGACCGCTGAAACAACTAACAAGAAGTCGACATCAGCCAATTAGAAAGCAGCTTTCACGAGCTTTACGGCACTCGTTTCAACCTGGCAACTTCCATTTCAGACTACGCTTGAAAAACGTCTCGATTAAAAATTTTGTAAAACTGAACAAACGAACATTCCGGAATGTTTAATGTATGAGTGCGTTTCTATGGCATTGCTTCCCACGTACTATGCAACGCCTTCTCCGTTCAAATGTTTATCCCATGGAAGCGAGAGATAGACGATAATTTCGACGGAATCAGTCGTACGGGCCGTAATTGTCGTTGGGAATAACCCGTGTTAACGTTTTCGAGGTTGCATGATTAGAAAACACATTCCAACTGTCACTTTCATGATCTGGTAAGCGAAGGTTTGATTGGTCGGATGAAAGGTCGTTCTGATGTGACCCTAAATGGGTTGTCCTCAGATCTTTGTTTGGCGATGAGATTGGAGTCGAGGGTACCATTGTACAAAGGGATCTTAGCGCTAAGGTGATCGTAACTCCCATACCTTAACATAAACTTACGACAGTGGTCTGCAGTGATACATGTGGACTTCCTGTTGGCTTTGAAAACTTTTCTGGTAACACCTTATGTATGATAAGCAATAACTGTCTGATATATTATCTAAATCAAAATGTTGAATACAATAAATCAAAATATAAAAAAGAAAAGTATATATCATCAGTGTTTGATATAAGCGCATGCCCGTAGGCCCGTGAACCCTGGGTCCTTAGTTTCAAATTTGTATGGGTCCTTATGGCCGGCAGTAAATAATACATGTTGATTTTTTTTTTCACAAAAAAATTGTAATTTTTTAAAAGAGGGCTTGAGAGTTGAGTCAGGGACTGCAGATTCTAAGGTCTGTGGGTCCTGATGGCAACCTGGCAATTCTCTTTATTTCAAACACTGTAGGTCATGGACGATGCCAGGAAATCCAGCCTAGTTCGGTAAGGGTGGAAACTGGACTTTTAAGTCAGTTAACTCTCTTGTCTCGGGAAGATGGGGAATATTGTAAATGATAGATATATTAAGTTATAGACAAAGAGATAAGTTTGTCCAACAAACACTGCTTACATGGTCAGACCACCTCTTTTCCAAAAGGTGACTAAATTGAATTAAGTGGTCAGATCCAGTGTTGTGTACTGACAGCATGGGATTTTGATCATGACGTCAACCATTGGTTGGTCCGTAACAAACTCAGTTGTTTACAGGCCACATAATATGGCTTGAATGTGGCTGACTGTGACTGTATGATATCATTGTTGAGTACTTGACATCACTCTGGTGTCGACTGCTTTGGTGTATACCGTATTCGAAATAATAAACGCCCAGGGCACTCTCAAAATTAGAAATAGGGGGCTCGTCTTAGAAAACATGAATGTATTAATTTGGTGAAAAACAACAGAGTTGAAAGATCGTAAATTTCGTGGCTTACGCTCACAGCTTAAAATGTTTATATACGACAGACATATTTTTCAAGAATTTAATTTCCCATAAAAAGAATGCATATAACACACGTATTATACACAAATAATAAAGTCTTGTGGACATTGATCAATCAGAAGGGGTGCTAACTGGGATTGTTCACTAGCCAAGATATTGGTAAATATCGCCGTGGGCGCTTATTAGAGCGGGACGTCGAATATGGTAATCATACTTACTCAAGAAGATACGAGGTTCTGACACACACACACAAGTCCATGGAATGTTAGGGGATTATGTTTGTTTTGTTTGTTTGATACCTTTCACATATAATATTTACAAATTACAGTAAACTACGTTTATACATGTTATAACGAACTTATTTTTTAGGCCAGGCCAATTGTTCTCTATATGCTGTATATGTGCTTATAATGAACTACGGTTATTGAGAATTAAAATTTGTGGTCCCTTTGAGTTTGTTATAACCGTAGTTTACTGTACCAAATGTTTTTGAACTAATGACAAATAAACACCTATTTTGTCAAGTCTTGGCATTACTATAAACGCGTAAATATCTAGACAGTGTCAACCCACATGACCTTGAACGTCAGTACAACCAGAAACACAGTTAATCTGGCTTACATTAAAACAAGCCAAAGAAAGTTGTAGACCTGGGTGCCGTTGTACACGCGATCTTAGTGTTAAGGTGATCGTAATTCCCATACCTTAACATAGACTTACGACAGTTGTAGTGTTAAGGTGATCGTAATTCCCATACCTTAACATAGACTTACGACAGTTGTAGTTCTAAGGTGATCGTAATTCCCATACCTTAACATAGACTTACGACAGTCGTAGTGCTAATGTGATCGTAAATCCCATACCTTAACATAGACTTACGACAGTCGTAGTGCTAATGTGATCGTAATTCCCATACCTTAACATAGACTTACGACAGTCGTAGTGCTAATGTGATCGTAATTCCCATACCTTAACATAGACTTACGACAGTCAGAGTGCTAAGGTGATCGTAATTCCCATACCTTAACATAGACTTACGACAGTCGTGGTGCTAAGGTGATCGTAATTCCCATACCTTAACATAGACTTACGACAGTCGTAGTGCTAATGTGATCGTAATTCCCATACCTTAACATAGACTTACGACAGTCGTAGTGCTAATGTGATCGTAATTCCCATACCTTAACATAGACTTACATCAATCGTAGTGCTAAGGTGGTTTTGTACAACGGCACCCTGTTTGTTTTCTTGGTGTGACAAGTGTGACGTTTGTGTGTCAGATCTACAGTCCAGGGACCGGGCAGATGCTGTACAGCCTCACTGATGAAGATACCCAGTGTCACCGTCTCCCCGTCACACAGCTCCGCTTCCGCCCATATACCAGCCTTGACAAACCAGAGTACACCCACATCCTCATTGCTTCATGTAGGTACAGCTCTCTTGCTTCCCTAAGAAGCATTGTTTGACATGTTCCAGTTGTCCGGGAACTTTCTCAGGATGATGGGGGCATGTGAGGCCCAGTTGTCAAAGATGTGCAGAGTTGCATCCCTTTGGTGTGCCAGAAACTGCTGATTGTGGTTTTGAATCCTGGCACACCCTGGTTCTTGGTTTTTCAGCTCCATATCCATGCTCATTGTTATGAAAGTGGTAAAGGTATACATGGTATAAGATCTGCATCACTTCAGGCTTTTGTCCTCACGCTGACACACCGTGATATAGCTGAAATAGATTCAACATGCTTAAAGCGGCGTTTAACCAAACTCACTCTCGGGGTACCAAACAGGAACAGTGCCACAGGAAAAAAAGATGAAAAGAAAGATTACAGGGCAAAGTCACAAGAGTGGTGAAGACCAACTGTCAGTAATCTGCATCCCTGGATTCTTTCCCCCCACATAGAGCTGATTTTCCATTTGAGTCTATGAGTCAACACATCATGTTCACAACACATGCTTGTCGTAAGAGGCAACTAATGGGATCGGGTGGTCAGGCTCGCTGACTTGATTGATGCATGTCATCGTATCTCAATTGCATAGATCGACACTCATTATGTCAGTCACAGGATTGTCTGGTCCAGACACAATTACTTACAGACCGCCATCAGCTGGAATATTGCTGAGTGCGGCATTAAACAACAAACAAACATTAAGATCAGATATTTTTTACGATACAGTCAGTTTGCGTGAAGATCTGCCAAATCCTCCAATCCATAGGTGGTCGCATCAGGTGGACCATTTGGGCCCTAAGTAAACTTTGACCACTCAGTCTAGATGAAGGATGTGTGGATGCTTTCTACATTTATTCAGCTTCATTTCTCCGTCCTAAATTCAGCAGTTTTGGTCTTTACAAAAGAAAGCCCACACAACAGAAACATTCCCTGGGTGTAGATGCTGTAGCGCTCCCAAACATCAGGATGTGTAAAATATCCAGTCACAATACAGTGTGACCATTGTTATTTCTTGCCTGTCTATGGTTGTTTTCAAGATGCAAAAATCAAATATGCCTTCTGTGAAGGCTTCACCTGTTTGTACAGAGAATTTAGATGCCTCAACACTGATTGGAGGATGAAAGTGAGTGAGTGAGTATGGTTTTACGCCGCTTTCAGCAATATTCCAGCAATATCATGGCGGGGGACACCAGAAATGGGCTTCACACATTGTACCCATCTGGGGAATCGAACCCAGGTCTTCGGCGTGAGGAGCCAATGTTTTGACCACGAGGCTACCCCACCGCCAGTGGAGGATAAGAAATATCACCTGAATCAACCTCTTGTGGAGTATCATACCAATAGATCTGATTTCAGTGAGATTGACTTGACATCCTGCCTGATACATATGTCTGCTGCTGTACCAACAGATGCTTCCGGTCACGTCAAGTTCTGGCACTACACCTCCGGTAAGTGTCTTCACACCATCAACGAGATCCGCCAGGTCTTGGCTCTGGCCCTCAACCCCGACGGAACGCACTTCCTCACTGCTGGAGCCGACCCGGAAATACACCTGTATGATATCGAGACAAAGAAGCGGAAGAAAACGTTTGAACCCAGGTAAAATTGTCCACACATAAACATTGATTGAGAACCTTGTTGTTACCTATAATCATGATAATGATCCATGTCAGTACCCATGCTTGTGTGGTGTCCCCAAAGAAATAAACTTTGATCTTTACTTTACGAATATAATTTGAACTTTTCACACACATTTAGCATGACACCTGAATCTGTTGAACATGTTGAAGAGGTTCGAATCTGATTTTCAATGTGGTCATCATGGCAGCCATATTGAAAACCTAGTTCAGGCCATTACTCTCACATTTTCATCAATCTGTAATGACGTTTTGTACATGTGTCCAGTTTTTAGTAGGACTCAGCAATGTTCCGTATTGGGCAATATTTTGAAGTTTGTCCTTGCTTGCATGTATGTCCTTCTTCTGCATGTTTTCTTGCTATCTTCTTTGTGTTTTCATCCCTCACACAAGGTGATGGAATGTAGTCGTGGTAGCATGGTATTATATTATCACGGTAGTTAATAAATAATGGATCGAAATGGCGTACACTTAAATATGTCATACGGAAAGTGTTGCTTGTTATTTGTTTAACCTTTATCACACATCAGTTCAGATCGATGCTGATTTTCTTTAGCGAGATCTGTAAACAAATTATCTGCCATTAGCGACTCAAGGGGGGTAACTCAGTATAAACATGGTATTGCCATTTTGATATGATATGATACGTGTGGAAAATGTGCTTTACATCACTTCCTATTTTGATTATGCATAATCAATATGCATACGACCTAGGTTTGGTCAACATGGTCAATGGACATTGTCCAAACAAACTGATTATTCTAACCACTTTTGAATGGCGTGGGGGTAATCATGGTAATGCCACTTAAAAGACTTTCCAGAACTGTTATAAAAAAGTTGATATGTTTACTTACAAGTAGCTGTGACATCTTGCAACAAGTCCTGTATTCGATCAACCAATGAAATATTGTGCTTACATTTGCAGTCGACAGGGGTTGTGGATTACAAGATTTTCCATGATAATATAGAGCCAGCGATAATACTCAGAGTCAGACTATATAAACCTGTGGTGATGCCGGTTATGCCCAATAACCCAAACTGGTCGTAAGAGCCGACTTAATGGATCGGGTGACTTTGTTGATTGGGTGCCTTCTTACCCAGCAGCGTGGATCGTTGCTCACAATATCAATCACTGAATTTTCTCAATAATTTACAGGTCGCTGTCTTAGCTGAGTGTGGTATTACTCAACAAACATACAAAACATCAGTGTTAAAAAAGATCAATTCACTCAACACTGACATGTGTGGCTTTTATTTTGTCTTATGAAACTTTTCAGTGATGCTCGAGACATTATGGATGGTCATCGGTTCCGTGTATTTGCTGCCCAGTTCAACCCCAACCATCCGGACCTGTTTATCACCGGTGGATGGGACGATACCGTGCAGGTACTGTTGCAGAGCTATAGATAAGCTTTTGGTTATTTGGGTATTTTACCCAGAGGTGTAACTTTGATTAAGTATCCACAATTTGTAGAGGGTGTTCCCCTTTTTATTACCCACCTGTTTCTTAACATGTGGGTATTTTAACTTGATAACCTGTTTCGTAACAATCCCCTTCAATCATTTAAACTATGTCAACAGTAGTATACCCGCCTGAGTCTGCTTGCGGCTCTCTCTCCAGGAAGCCATTTTTGTTTGCAACACCTAGCATTGTAAGAAAGGTGTTATTTCTTGAATCACCAATCAGTGACTGTTTAAGATACAACATTTACAATGACTAGGCACGATGTGATTTTAAATTAGCATCTATCAGTAAGTTTGTCGACAAGCTTTTCCGATTGTAACTGTCGATAAGTGAATTTTGTGATTGGCTGATACTCAATCATTTTATCTAACAGTTGTAATATATGTAGTCATTTTATCTAATAGTTGTAATATACGCATTAGTTTTATTTCAAAAGCGAATTTTTAGTTTTTGTTGTGTATTTGATACGCTAGAATTTGATTTGTCTGCATATTTCTGTTTATTAATGTGTATTTTGCATTAATATGCAGCTTCTCTCGAGGTCTGCTGTTGTTGTAGCATAGAACACAGAATAGGGTAGTTTCATAGAAAGGATGTAGCTGCTAACGTTTGCAGGGTTGGAAGTTTTCTCTTGTCCGCAACAGTTGACCTTCGATAGAGTTGTAATCTACCTAATGGCAAAGAGTGGTAGTCCACAATGTGTCTCGGACTAGTGGGCTCACGTTAATTTTGAACCCTGGTTTGCGTATAAGGACTGTGTTGATGATTATCAAGTTGAGCCTTGTGCTGCAGTGCATACTGATGGAGAAGTTATCCTTCATCAAGCTCAGACCGGATGTGTGCTAGTGTAGATTTGTGTTGTGTGTTTCAGTACTGGGATGTGAGAGTTCAACATGGACATGCCGTCAAGTAAGTTGTGGTATCAATAAATACCCCCCATCAATCAATCCACCACCATCATCACTTCCAGCCATCCCTCCATCCAACTACCTAGGCCTGCCATTCACCAATTCCAGCCATCAATTTCTACCAACCTTTCATCAACACCCCCATCAACCAACCCAAATCATCCGACAACACATCTATCCACCAGCCAAATCATCCTACACCCAATCCATCAGCAATACTTTCCATCCATTAACACTCAACCGTCCTTCCAACTATTCACCCACCCATTTATCCATCAAACAATCCATCCGTCTGCTCACTCACCCTCTCGCATCCATTCATCCATGAATTAATCAATTCCCCCATCAATGAGTGTAGCCTCTTAGCAATTTGTGACTAGATACAAACTAGATTTGGGTCAAAACAATTAGTGAGGAGCAGACCCACGGGCACGTGTGACCCTGATATATCTGACCTTGTGTGTTTCTGTACAGGAAGTTCTGTGGGCCTCACATCTGTGGCGACGCCCTTGACATCGACCCACTACACAACCACATCCTCACCGGCAGCTGGAGGAAGCACTCAGTCCTACAGGTACCATCTTCTTGTGGCAGGGGCATCTTGTGGCCTCAGGCACTGTCTCCGTGTGTGGTAGACATTATGTCGGCCTCTAGGGGAAGACATAATCTATAACTTTTAACTTTCGTGTTTCACTTTCAATGGTTATTTTATTTAAGGATGTGTTGGTCACATGTTAGGAAATGTGGTTTTTTTTAAGACATCCATATTTTTCACTGCTGATGAGGTTGGATTCTATCCCATCTGTCAGATGTCCCATGTGTTAGACACACAGTTGTTAGACTTTAATTAAAAAAGAAAGTGGGCTTACCTATTTCATTAAGATGGCAGGATTGCAACAAGTCAAATAAATTTATTTGAAGTATTTCTAAGTACTTTTGCTTTAACTAGCTGGTTCAGAAACCTGTCTGTTTGCAACAAAACAAACTGTTCAAACTCTGTAACACGGTGAATAAAATCATTGGCATCTTTCCCCTGGACTTCGCCAATATTTATTAACAGCAAATAGTTAATAAAGCAAATAAAATATTTGCCAATATTGAGAACAGTATTGAGAATTAATGCCAGCTAGTACCAGGTTTTATGATAAGTATTGTGATAAATAATTGTTGAGCTTTTATTCGCTAGTGTCACATGTTACGTTAATTACATTTGTGATGCTCCATTTATTTTATGTGTGTTTATCACTAATCTGAGGCCTTGTGCTGATGTAACACAAATTATCTTTCAGGATAATAAAGTGTTATCTTATATGTTTATGTGTGTTTTATGTTATAGTGCTTAGTGCTGATATTGATTGAAATTTTTAAACTTATCCTATCTCACACGCTTAATGCCCACTCAACCATCCGCATCACAGTTACACCAGCCTGTACGCTCTTGATTGAGAAGGAGGGTGCTGGATATGTCAGGTCAGGTCGCTGGGGTCGTGTCGCACAGGATTTTAGTGGTGCGTGAACCATGATCACAGTGGTGATTGGTGATGTAAGGGATGTGTTTGGGTGAGTGGTGTTTTTTGAAGCTGGAAACTTTGTTCTAGAACATTTCCACACCAAGATCGAAGAATAAGAAGAAATGCATAGTGTGAGATAGGATAAGAATATAAATATACAATTTATTAGAAAATTTACAATTTTGTTGAGATGACTTATATTAGTTGTCAGTGCTAAAACTAAACATGAGTAATAGTTTGTGGTGTTCGTTTCTTACCTCTCACTGTCTGACAAATGGGTGGAAAGAGGGCGGAGTCCATTTAAACTGAAGCTAATTAATTGTCAATCAGCCACTACTAAAACTGTCTTACAAGTGGGGTGTCTGACCGATGGGAGGACACAGGAAATTGTACAGTGTATTTCCAGTTTCTCCTTGCATTGTCAGGTGCATGAACTGATTGTCAAGTTGCTGATTAATATTTGTTTGACTATGGACAGATCTGGGATTTCTCCCTGGCAGCTAAGATCAAGGATGTTCCGCAGGACACCCTCAACTCTAGTCAGGTACGTCTATCAGTCACTCACACCCACCAGTCACTCAGTGTGATCCCTAGTGTTGCAGCTGTATGTTATCCTATGTATGTTATCCTGTGCACCTGTGAAGTTCCGGGTTAGAATAGGTCTTCAGCAACCCATGCTTGTCGTAACAGGCGACTATGCTTGTTTTAAGAGGCGACCAACGGGATTGGGTGGTCAGGCTCGCTGACTTTGTTGATGCATGTCATAGTATCCCAATTGCGTGGATCGATTCTCATGATATCAATCACTGGATTGTCTGGTCCAGTGTGTTGAAGCTGTTTGTGTTATCCTATGTGTTGCAGCTGTATGTGTTATCCTGTGTGTTGCAGCTGTATGTGAAATCCTGTGTGTTACAGCTGTATGTGAAATCCTGTGTGTTGCAGCTGTTTGTTATCCTGTATGTTGCAGCTGTATGTGTTATGCTGTGTGCTGCAGCTGTATGTGTTTTCCTGTGTGTTGCAGCTGTATGTGTTATCCTGTGTGTTGAAGCTGTATGTGTTTTACTGTATGTTGCAGCTGTATGTGTTATCCAGTGTGTTGCAGCTGTTTGTGTTTTCCTTTATGTTGCAGCTGTATGTGTTATCCAGTGTGTTGCAGCTGTATGTGTTATCCAGTGTGTTGCAGCTGTTTGTGTTATCCTGTGTGTTGAAGCTGTATGTGTTATCCTGTGTGTTGCAGGTGTATGTGTTTTCCTGTGTGTTGCAGCTGTTTGTGTTATCCTGTGTGTTGAAGCTGTTTGTTATCCTGTGTGTTGCAGCTGTATGTGTTTTCCTGTGTGTTGAAGCTGTTTGTTATCCTGTATGTTGCAGCTGTATGTGTTATCCTGTGTGTTGCAGCTGTATGTGTTATCCTGTGTGTTGAAGCTGTTTGTTATCCTGTATGTTGCAGCTGTATGTGTTATCCTGTATGTTGCAGCTTTATGTGTTATCCTGTGTGTTGCAGCTGTATGTGTTATCCTGTATGTTGCAGCTGTATGTTTTCCTGTGTGTTGCAGCTGTATGTGTTTTCCTTTGTGTTACAGCTGTATGTGTTTTCCTGAGTGTTGCAGCTGTATGTGTTATCCTGTATGTTGCAGCTTTATGTGTTATCCTGTGTGTTGCAGCTGTATGTGTTATCCAGTGTGTTGCAGCTGTATGTGTTTTCCTGTGTGTTGCAGCTGTATGTGTTATCCAGTGTGTTGCAGCTGTATGTGTTTTCCTGTGTGTTGCAGCTGTATGTGTTTTCCTGAGTGTTGCAGCTGTATGTGTTTTTCTTGTATTACAGCTGTTTGTGTTTTCCTGTGTGTTGCAGCTGTTTGTGTTGTCCTACTTGTGTTATCCTGCGTGCTGCAGCTGTATGTGTTTTCCTGTGTGTTACAGCTGTATGTGTTTTCCTGAGTGTTACTGCTGTATGTGTTTTCCTGAGTGTTACAGCTGTATGTGTTTTCCTGAGTGTTACAGCTGTATGTGTTTTCCTGTGTGTTACTGCTGTATGTGTTTTCCTGTGTGTTACAGCTGTATGTGTTTTCCTGAGTGTTACAGCTGTATGTGTTTTCCTGTGTGTTGCAGCTGTATGTGTTTTCCTGTGTGTTACAGCTGTACTGTGCCCAGTGGCTAGGCAAGGACAGCATCATCTGTGGAGGCACAGACCAAAACATGGCCAGGATCATAGACAGAGGAACACTCAATGTAAGTATGTCATATCTACCTCAAATGTGTCCAGAGCATAGCTCCAAAGGCCATTCAATATTTCTTCATCAAACCTTGCACAGATACGTAACAGTCAAGCCATATACAGGTGCCTTTTGCTCTGGAGGAAGTTTGGAAAGTTTGTATTTTTCCAAATTGTACTTCTAAGTGTTCCTTTCAAGACAATAACTTATCAAGTTGTCAGCTGGTGACATTTACTTTTTGGCAATTCAATTAGATTCAATTGGGTCCTGAATTCCTTCCTTGTGTTTTCTTTTCTGCAGTACCCATCATGTCCATGATTAAGATAAGATTCTCCAAACAATGCAACACATAGTTTCATGAAACTTTCCTTATGTGTCATTGAAGTGCTTTATTTGTCCCCTTCAGTTTGTGTAAAATGTGGATTATCATTCTTATGTTGCTTCTCATTGACAGAAGCGTACATAAAATCACTCTGAGCAAATCAAAGTGACACCAAAGTTCCATCTTCTCCATATTTACCGTTCCATTAGACTAACATCTAGTCTCTGAAATGAACATATTGTACATAAAAAAACAGTTGTTCAGTTATCTTAATAAAATATAATAAAAAGGAGCCCAGTGACTCTCTTCATTTTCAGATACTGATACTGCAGTGATCTAGACTTGCCAAACATTATAGACTTGCATGGGCTGTATTTGATATATATTTGTATCAGGGTCTGTAAGACAGACTACCGTTCCATCTGTAATTTTCTTGTAATGTAAGTTTCCCTGTATGTTGCTTCAGTCTTTATGAATGTGGACATACATTGGTCATCCGTTCTCTCACTCAGACCACCGGTCAGCTTGTGGACCTACCTCAGGGGGTTTACTGCATCGACAATGACCGCCAGAGCAGCTACCCACGCATCGCCATCGGCAGCAGTCGCTACATCTTCCTCGTCCGCAGCGACAAGAAAAGTCACTACAGAGGGGACTGATTACTCCACAACATGACAAACTTGAAGAGCCTCTCAGTCTGTGATCAGAATTATTTTCATGGAACTAGTTGAACCAGAACAGATGACTTTTATTTAGGCTAGATATCACCGTAAGTTTCTTGTTTTTCTGAATTATTTCAGATACTTAGAAGTCTCCCAGCCGAAAGGGGATGACCTGACTTTATGGGCCTGCAACAATATGAAGTCTTTTCCCCATTTGGCCAGCCAATAAGCTGTTCTCAAACATAATATGGTCATATTTTCTGATTATGTTTGTTGGGATGAAATGATACAACAGTGCAACCATACGATACATGAAACATTTTTTCTGTATTAATACAAGACGATACACTTGCTGAAATAAATTACTTACTACTCGTTTAATGAGCCTCAAGTATTGTCAGTGAAATATCTCAAAATGGGTTGTAATTAGCATTTCAAGTTCATTACTAAAATAGATGCTGCAAACATGTGTCTTCAGCTTTTCCTTTTGAACTTGCTCTGAAATATTAAAAGGCAAGAAGTTTCCATACAATTTGACATAAATATCCACATCGTGATACGTATCGTATCGTGACCCATGTATCGTGATACAAATTGTATCATGACCTTGCTGTATTGTTTCACGCCTAATGTTTGTGTTTGGCAGTTATGTTTGTCACTGGGAGCAGTGGGGTAGCCTAGTGCAGGGGTAGAAACTAACATATATAGTCCACTAGTCCTTATATTAATGAAAACATATAGCTAAACCCTTCAAAATTGCAAATGTCTACTAGTCCTTAGGATACTTTAACTATTGGGAAGTTTGGCATGGACTACAGCAAGTTAAGTGCACAGTATATTAACCATATCACCAGAGTATTTTGAATATTTACACTGATATATTTACAGTTCTGTTGATAAAGGATAGCAAAAACAACTACAACATATCACAGAGTTTCATTCAGCACTAGTTTGAGAATGTTAAAAACTTCTACACAACATAACATTAAGACAATAGAGTGAGTCCACCATTCAGGTGACTGCATCTTCCCGAAGCAAGAGAGTTAACTGACTTAAGAAGTCTAGTTTCCACCTTTGCCGAACTAGGCTGGAATTCCGGGGCTCGATCGTAGGGCCACCAGTGGCTATTACGTGTTAAGACCCTTCTAAGCCTCTCCTATTGACCAATCAGATTCAACCTCTTGTATCACTTGCATTTGCTTCGACCAAAATGGTGGCGCCCAGTCAGGATGATCTGATCGATAATCAAGATCTATATTGTGATAAAACGGGTCTTACATCGCGAAATGCATCAAATCACGTGAGCACCTTGATTAAAAACATGAAAAAATTTGGAAAATATCTTTTGACAACGAGCTGGCAGTGCACATGCTTTGCAAATCCTGCAATCGACCAAAATCTGCACGACAGTTTACAAACCGGATTTCTATTTCATTGTGAGATTTTGATTGGACTTTGCATAGACTCGTTAGTCCAGCCAAATTGTAACTCCATAATACCAGCCTAGTTCAGCAAGGGTAGAAACTGGACTTTTATAGTCAGTTAACTCTCTTGCCTCGGGAAGGTGGGGCACTGGGGACTGGGGACTGTCATTCCTCGCTGTATTTGCACTCTGACCTTTGTCACTTGCGATTGGTAGCAAGTTTAGCTGGCATTTCAAAACAAGCATTAATATATTTTTCACGACAAAATACTGACTTTTTTTAATGCTCTCTTTTTTTAATAGGGTTGAACATCAGTGTAAATAGTGTTAATTTATTATTATTATTATCATTATTATTATTATTATTATTATTAACTGACCTTACCTGACACTATTACTAGACTCAGACTTCAGACCAGTGGCTGGAGTCACAGACTGTTTTTGATGTTGTTATTTGTTTCTGTATCAGAAGTGTTCCTAAAATTGTCAAGTTTTAGATTAGCATTTTTGTTGGTCTAAACATGACTGTGTTTGCCTGTATTCAACTCCTGTGTAACAAACCGCTGTGGTTGACTAGAATGAGGAAAAGCATTACAGTTAGAATATGGAACCACAAGAAATATATTTTACATATTATCACAGGCTTCTTTGTTATTAGCAACCTTCGGTGAAATAGTGCCGACTTGCTGCCTTTGATTTGGAGAACTGGAACAGTTTTAGGGTCACTTTCAGGATTCTTTGGTGATAGAAAATCAGAATGTCACTTTTTCCAATTGTAGAAATTGTTCCACGGCATCCTCAAAGATATATTTGTTTCTTATGAGAACATAAGTGACACTTTAGACTTACCTTGTACACACCTTGTGAGGCCCTCGCTCTGTCTGGACACCGGCGACTTGTCCTCCATATTTCGGTGGCCCAGTTGTCTAAGGCGCCGCGATTCTCTGTGCAGAGTTGCATCCCTTGGGCACGCCAGAAACCTATGATTGTGGGTTCGAATCCCGGTTCGCCCCGATTATGTTTCTAGGTTTGTCAGCACCATACCCGCGCTCGTGGGTTTCACTTAAGTGGTAAACGTCTGAGACCTGCATCACTTCGGGCTTTCCTCCCACCTGAAGCTGACACTCCGTGATATAACTGGAATACTGTTAAAAATGGCGTTAAACCAAATCAATCAGTCCTCCATACTTCACAACTCTCCAGCCATCAACCAGCACAAATACTGGTGCCTTGTGTTCTTATTGTAATGATACGATAAATGAATTATTTGATTTTCTTCCAAGTTAAACAAAAAAATAAACAGGGAGTTTTTTTGTTTTTTGGTATTTTTTATGCTCAGGACGTGTCTACAGGACCTGCTGACTGGAGTGGGAATGTTTGGTAGGATAAGATCTTGTAAAGAAAGATGGCAACATTTGAAGCAATTTTCTTCATCTGTGGACACTTTCTTATTCATATATTCAAGTTTGTTATCTGCCTATTTAATTCATAACATGAACAATTTCGAATCATTAAGACAATCACACATATTGAAATCCCCCTGTGTTCTTATTTACATCAATACTTTGAAACATGAAATCATTCTGGAGCCATTATACTGAACTTTCCCGTCATATCATCCCACGTTCAGTCCCAGGGATTATAAAGATGTGCCAGATCATCCATAGCCAATGGCATGTATCGATGGTTCATATATTGACATGGGCGGTCGGGTAGCCTAGTTGTTTAAGCGTTCGCTCGTCACGACGAAACCCAGGTTCGATTCCCTACATGGGCACAATGTGTGAAGCCCATTTCTGGTGTCCCCCGCTGTGATACTGCTGGAATATTGCTAAAAACGGCGTAAAACCATACTCACTCATATGTTGACAAGTGGTCATGTGGTCAGTGTCATTGGTAGTTAGGGCGGGCTAAAGAATCGCTTTCTGTCTTCAGCAATTGACATGACTGACAATAACAAGTCTGCTTCAGTAAATTTAAACTTCATTTCATCACAATAGTTTTGTAAGATATTATCAATGACACATTTTTCATATCGATAATCATTATTTATTCCCATCAATGATCATTCCGATTATCAATCTTTTTAGCCTGCCCTAGTGATAGTCTGACACTAATGGATGTCTGCTGTGTGCGATGTGGTCACTGTGAAGCTCCCGGTGTTCTCCTGACCCAGTATAAGTCAAGCTGTGGCTGACATGAAGCCAAGACTCATTGACTGAAGTTGAAGGTACAAAGATACTGTGATTAAATCAACAAAACAGTCAGTCCCATTTTACGACATGAGACATGAGACTTTATTTTCGGTACTTGGAGTGTAGATGCAAATGCAAATCGACTTGACACTTGTTTTCAGATTTAACAAACAAATAGAAGTTAAGTACACCAGAAACTTAGACAGAAGCATCTCACTGGCTGGCTACACTGGCTGGCTGCAATGTTTGCCCCAAAACACCTTTTAGAATAATCTTGTCACTGTGTGAGTCATGATGGTTCTAACTGGTCCAACAGACATTTCTAAATAAGTTCTGATTCATTGTGTATTTTGTTTGAACTTAATATCACCCAGACAAAATGTGATTTAGATTAGTAGTTGTGTTATAGTTTGTTCCAATTCACCATGTTCACTGTGTAGTTATGTAGTTATGAATATACTGTAACTACAATAAAATGGCATTGGACCCTCTCACTCACTCACTCATGAACCAAGTGAACCAAAGTACAGTAAGTACTGTAGCTAGATACGTGTATTGTCCCTTACATTACTTATTATTATGTAAAAACCAGTAAATGAGTGTTTTTGTTATATCTGTTTATTTGTTGCTGTCTTTGTTGATAGTAATTCCTCGCTTAGGACTCTGTGTGATAATTATTAATGGAATAATTTGAGAGTAAAAACAGTCCACATATTCTTGCCACGAGGTGTTTCGTTCTGTAAGATGGAATTGGGCAAGAGGACCAGTTGCCTTGAACATTCCACTAGCCCTCGAACAGCTAACTAGCCATGAACTAGAGGGCAAGCCTTTATTTCTGTTTTTTCAGTACACTGACTATTCACATTTGTTATGAAACTAGTTTACTAGTGTTATTTGACGTCTAACATGTGACCAAGCTGCATAGCCATGACAGATTATCTATAGTAGTAAGAAAGATGTGGGTGGTCCTTTACTTCTATTGAGCATTAAGACATTGAATAAGTCAATTTGTGATATTTTAATATGTTTAATATCTTAGTACTCATTTTTCAATCCCTCAAATCAAAATTGTCCTTGTATTTGATGTTTATTTCCTGGTATTAACATATTTACCACTTTTTCTACAAATCAAAGATTAGAATAATCATAAGGCAGAATATTGCTGCAAGAGATTGCAAATCTACATGCGGTATTGATACACACAGCATACCTCTAGAGGCAACAACAAGAGCTGCTGAGGAGTTTCACCTTTCATCACTGTTGTGATACTACTTGTACTACTTTGGTGACCAGTGAAGATCCGGGGTACGATAGGTCTTCAGCATCCCTGCTTGCCGTAAGAGGCGACTAATGGGATCGGGTGGTCAGGCTCGCCGACTTGGTTGATGCATGTCATCATATCCCAATTGCGTGGATCAATGGTCATGATGTCAATCACTGGATTGTCTGGTCCAGACTTGATTATTTACGGACCGTCGTCATATAGCTTGAATACTGCTCAGTGTGGTGTTAAACAACAAACAAACAAACCACTGCGGTAGTGTGAACATTTCCTGTTTTTTGTTTGTTTTGTATTGTCAAAGTCATGAACAACCTTCTTTTGAGATTTTGTTGGGACACAGGTGGCCCAGTGGTGTATGCCATGTAATTCATGAGTTCTGTTTATACCCCTCCAGGGAGGACAAGTACATTCTGTAGCCTTCATAACTGCAAAAATGGCGATTTTTCAACACAGTGCCACCTACAACAAAATTTAAAAAATGACAATGCCCCTTGCAGCATGCACAAAATAGAAGATCTGGTCAAACCGGAGTTATCCCCCCTAAGTGTAGGGTACACTAAAACATATCCAGAGGAATTACCACCACTTGACAGGATTAAAAACAAATAATGGGATTAATTTCCCTGATAACATGTAAGTAAATAGTCAGTTACTAAACCAAATATCTGGAGCCTAGATGTCAACCCAAATGCTAGTAATTAATTTTACACATATCTATTCACTAGATATACAAGCGTCCCAGCTGTTTCTTGTAGTCACACAGTGAATGTGTTATTTGTTTATTTGAAATGGAATGCTTTAATTATTTTAGGTAGATTTTCTCACATTTTGATTAAATCTGTGATTATTTATATATTGATACTTTAATGGATTGATCATGTTGATTATATTTTTGTTACATGCAAATTTACAGCATCGTCTGACGTATTGTACCATTGCCCTGATGGATTAAATATATTTTTGATCACACCTGTTGTCGTTGTGCATGCTTGTGAGTGGACGAGCATCTACTATTTAGTAATGACAGAAATAGAGGGAAATGTTTTTTGAAGACTTAATTGGTAGGATGGTTATATGTGGTGACTTGGTTGATCTGGTATCATAGTGTTTCTCTCCATATCGAACATTGCTCATACTATCAATCACCGTTCCAGTCACCATTAACTACAGACCTGCTGGAATGTTGCTGAGAGCTGCTTTAAACCAATAAATATGGACAACACGTTGAAAAGCCTGTGAAGATCCGGGGTAGAATAGGTCTTCAGGAACCCATGTTTGACGTAAAAAGCAACTATGTAAGAGGCGACTAACGGGATCGGGTGGTCAGGCTCGCTGACCTGGTTGATGCATGTCATCGATCCCAATTGTCTGGATTGATGCTCATGATATCAATCACTGGATTGTCTGGTCCAGACTTGATTATTTACAACCGCCGTCATATAGCTGGAATATTACTGAGTGCTGCGTTAAAGAACAAACTAACCAACCAACCCAACACAGTGAAAAGCCAATACAGGGGTACTATTGACCATCTTCCCGAGGCATGGGAGTAAACTGACTTTTAAAGTCCATTTTCCACCCATACCGAACTAGGCAGGAATTTCTGGGCTCAACTGTAGCGCCACCAGTGACTATTACGATTTACGTCCCTTCTATGTCCCTCCTATTGACCAATCAGATTCCATGTCCTGTCTCTTGCACTTGCTTCAAACAAAATGGCGGCGTCCAGTCAAGACGATTTCCTTGATAATAAAGATCTTTATTGTAATAAAATGTGTTTTTATCACTTGTGAATCAAATCACTTTAGCACCTTGATTAAAGACATGAAAAGATTTGGAAAATATCTGTCGACGCTCAGTTGACGGTACACATGCTCTGCAAATTCTGCAATTGAACGAATTTGGCACAGCGGTTGCCTTGTTGCTTATTAACCAGATGTAGATTTCTTTATGGGATTTTGATTGGAATATGCATAGACTTGTAGTCCAGCCAAAACACAACTCCATAATTCCAACCTAGTTTGGCAATGGTGGAAACTGGACTTTTCAAGTCAGTTAACTCCCTTGCCTCGGGAAGATGACTATTGATTTGTCATTCCCGATCCCGGACACACCCCAGACTCTCCAGCCTTGGCTCACCACCCTGGACTACCCACCCCGGACTGCCCACCCTGGACTCCCCACCCAAGTCTCCCCAGCCCGGTCTCCCTACCCTAGACTTCCCAACCGGACTCTCCAACCTAGGCTCTCCAGCCCGGACTCCCCACCCGGGACTCCACATCCCGGTATCTCCAGGCCATGAAGATACGGGTTAGAATAGGTCTTCAGAAACCTGTGCTTGCCGTAAAAGGCGACAATGCTTGTCATAAGAGGCAACTAACGGGATTGGTTGGTCACCACAGACTCTCCACACCGTGTTCCCCACCCCCGTCTCTCCAAGCTGAACTCCCAAGCCCGGACTCCACACCACTGTCTCCCCACCCCAGACTCGCCAGCCCGGCTCCCCACCCAGATTTCCCATCCCGCACTCTCTACCCCAGCCCGGACTCCCCACCCTGGAATCTCCACCCTGGACTCCCCACCCCAGACTTCCCACCCCGGACACCACACCATGGACTCCGCACCCCATATACTTACAATAACACCCTGGTGAATACTTCAGCCTGTTTGAGAACAGCCACACATGTTCGTAGCTCCAGGGAAGGGCGATGCATACATGATTGAACTCCAACTACTTTGGGAACTGTCAGTCCTATCTTCGAGAATTTGATTTTTTTATATTGTAATCTAAGAGCTAATGTCAAGTCAAGTTTGATAGATTTACTGCTACTCAGGTAAGGCCACTTACAAAATAATTTTTTCGTCACTTTATTTGAAAATGGGTAAATCTTAAATTTATTATATTTCATTTTCAAAATAAAGTGTGAATAATACAAACTCATAACGTAGACATCAACCACGACACCAAGTGTGACATTGTATAAGTCGATCTCTTCTCTTAAAACAAGCATAGGTACGTATTATAACGCGGACTTTTCCTCCAACACCATACGTCTCACCGTGACGATCCGAAGACACGCCGATAGGTCGAACTTTGATCAAAATTGGTATGTGGGTTCTTGAGCATCTGATATCAGCTACCAGAATTCGGCTTCATTTCTCTACCACTTCGATCGGAAATACAACCTCGATGGATGTAGATGCCATGGCGCTCAGAAACGACTGTCGGCTCCCAATGAAATGCCCGGGGATTGAATACCCAGTGAAACGCGTAAATCTGAAAGCGCAATGTTTACCTCCTGACCACTATATTGGATTATATTTATGGACATATATCCAAATGACCCTGTTGTGATTAGAAGAGAATACCCCTTGATGTCAAGGTCGTACGATGAGGGCACGACAGGACATGACCTCGGACTTGATTGACACCGTCCCGCACGTGGCTCGCCCGGCGTTCTTTCATTGTCCCATTAAGATCACTAAACACCTGCCGCACGTCGCCTCTCACTGCAAGGCATTACTTTGATGAATGACGCGACAAAAAGAAGACATGGAATAGATCTATACCTGTACGTGTGTGACAGCAAGGATTTAATCAGATTTGTGTAGCGAAGTAGCCTTGTGGGTAATGTGCTCGATCGGAAATTCCCACTATTGAGATCAACTCACTTAACGTTTAAATGAAAGCTATCTCACCTTAGTTGTGTAACAAGGTGTTTTTGTACCGATCCAGAATTTCCAAAATGTGGAATGAAATTATTATTTTGAGACGTTTTTTTCAAACGAAACGAAACGAACTCCATCTTGTCATAACCCCTTAACGGGATCGGGTGGTCAGGCTCATTGACTTGGTTGATGCATGGCATCGTATCCCAATGGCGAGGATCGAGTCTCATAATATCAATCACTGGATTGTCTGCTCCAGACTCGATTATTTACAGACCGCCGTCATATAGCTGGAATATTATTGAGTGTGGCGTTAAACAACAAACAAACCAACCAACGTGTTTCTTTTGTGTCATCGTATTCCAACAACATTACTCATGCTATCAACCACTGGTATGCCTGGTCCAGACTCGATGATTAACAGACCGAGGTGACAGAGTTAATAATAATAATAATAATAATAATAATAATATTATTATTATTATTATTATGGAATCTGGCTCATTATAAATGCACTTCTTCTTCTTAATAATAATAATAATAATACGTGCATTTATAATGCGCCAGATTCCATTCACCAAGTGGATGCTCACAACGCTAGACTATTATTACCCCGGTCAATGGATCAGCGAGTACTCGATTTTCATTCTCAGCTCCCTGGGGAGTATACAGTAGTCTTAATATGGTATATCGCCTTAATATGGTTGATTTGGGTCACCTGCTCCATTTCATCTGAAACGTTCTCACTCAGCACAAGGAAATCCAGACAGATCACAGAAAACGTTACAATCTTCCTCAAAGTATTGACAGTGTATGTAATTGAGAATGAAAAATGGCTTTCGTTCGTTTGTCTTTAGTTGTAAGGTCATACGTTTAATAGAAGGATGTGTCGCCTTTGTGACAAGATGAAATCCCGCCCAGTGCATGATGGGTGAGTGGCACACATTTCATTCCTGTCACCTGTCAGTCAGGCATGGAATCAAACACAGCTGATATCAGAGCGTGGCTCCATTTCCCGCCATCACTGCCATGGACGTCCTCGTCTCCCCGCAACGTGAGTACTTCCACGCATCATGTCTTTCTTTGTTTATTTTCATTTCGTCGATATTCTATTGTGCGCAATTTAACTGTACATTCAAGATATCGATCTGACACATGTTGCAACGGTGCTACAGCCAGCTTTTAACATTTGTTTCTCCAATTATTATCATAGAAAATAAACATTCCCATAATTTGTAAAGTATTCGGATTGTTTTCAGCGATTAACATGTTAAATTTGTGTAAACTAGGAAATATGTAGGAGTTCATATGCATTACATATCAATATAAAATGGTATTCACTTTCAACATACGTAACGGCAGCTACACAAATCACATCTACTTTGGTTTCTCAGCATGGTCACGTATCGACCAGTTTCTATTTTTAGACAATTTTAGCCACATCTTAACCTTCCATCCTAACATCTCAAGCCACCCGAAACTTGTTTATAGTGATACAGCCAATATATGGTTCAACGCCAAAACTGGGTTTAGATAAGGAGTACGACGTTTTAGAGCCTAGAGATGGAGGTATGCCAATCCTGCTGGTACATATATTGTGATCTCGCCATAAACTCTTAAACAAAGAATCTATACTTCCAATAGACTGATCTTCCCAGACAAATACAAATCCCATTTTATATATTAATAGTTTCATCTTTGAAACCCAATTATTTTTTCTATGGCTAGCATCCAATAGAAGTAGATTATAACATTTGGGGGAAAACGAGAGGTTGGCATACACTGGAGAGATTGGTTGTGTCATCAACGTCACAACTGCTGTGTTGTCAGTGTAAGTCTGACGACAAGCTTCCATTTGATGTGCACTGTAGTTTTTTAGAAATCTTGATATGGTCACATTGATGATAAGTTGAATTGGTTCATGTCTTACAAGTTTTCAAATAATATAAAAACACTATTGATGTAGAATCAAGTGTACAATATCCCTCAAACGCTGATTTCGTTTTTATAATATTTGAACATGGACAAGTCTTCGATCAACGCTGATTTTCATAAAACAAATGCAGATATAGACAGGATAAACATTAAAACTGCCGAACAAAGGAAATTATACACTTGAAAATTGGATTTGACCAAAATATAACAAACGTTATCTAAACGTTAATAGGCTGGAAACAGTCGCCGAAGCACTGCAAACTTAAGGTCCAAAACACAACCATGATATCAGACATATCACCATCGAATAACCTTGTTTGTTTCAATTTATCCACCGTTAAACATGGGTGAATACTATATATTATCTGGCAGTTTAGTTAAACTTCATCATGGATCGTGAACTTGCTCATAGTTAGATAATCTCATGAAGTTCGAAAAAAGGCCATTTTCACCCATTTTAGCTATTTGTACTTGATAATATCAAAAGTTCAAAACTGTTCTGTAACGTTTTAATTTAGCACTTCCAGTGAGCCAAATTGGACCCTCGTCCTGCCTCGTTCTCATTACGTGAAAATCCGTTCACTCACTCACTCACGACGGAATCACCGCTATTGTAAATATCCTCGCCGCCCTTCAGTATGTGACATCGCCTTTAGGGGATGCATGCCTTGTAGTTACAGGATTTTTTCCTGTATTTGCCGGGATTTGTATGTCAATGGCTAATTTCAAGCTGTCAGTCACGAGATGAATGCATCATGCTTCAATTGGTTTTATTATGGCGTCCCGCTGACATTAATATACGAGGGATTGTGCTCACGTATTCTCAACACGGTATTATCTAACTACACGAGTTAAAGTTTTGTTAGTTATGCTAACGTACTCACCGACAAAAGAAGCGCGGACCATAGAAACATATAGAGAAGTATGTACTAAAGAAGAGATGTTTCCAATGTGTACCACTTAATGACAAAACTAACAATCAGTCAAGTGTTAGCACAGAGATTTTATATTCTTATCACGATATCCACGTGATTCCCAAACTTTACAAGACCGCCTCCGTGGTCTAGTGGTAGAGCGTCCGCCCGGAGAGCGAAAGGTCTAACGTTATAAGATGGTACTTGTTGTTACCCTGTCTGGCGCTCGGCATCAAGGGGCTAAAACAAGGACTGGGCGGCTCGGAGTCAGTGCACTGTGTCTGAGTGGGGTATCCATGTTAAACTGCGGCATGGTATCTCAGTGAGCTAGCACAATAAATCGGCATCAGTCCGGACTGGTACAAGCAGCCACACAAACACACACACGTGCATGCAGGTCGCTATATATGAGCAATAATCTTGGACGCGACGTTAAAACCAATTTCACCAAACTTTACACGCTAATCTTGCATAAGACAAATGGTGCATCTCGAGTTATGGATCTGTGATGTCACACGTGATGCGTTCATGAGCGTCGGTTCACACAACATAACAGTTTTTTCCGTTTGTGCTTCGACCGTATCTAATGTCTTTTAAATATTATTAATTATTTATATATTAACCGACATATATGGTATTTTCGTTTCTTTTGGCGGAGAATATATAGTACACCCCAAGCATCCTGTAACTGCTTCGGCGGATGCGGCTTTTCGGCGTAGTCATTCCAGACAGACCAGACAAGTCGTTGATGGTGGTGGGTCGTTAGAATAGTTCATTAGAGTTTTAGGCATAAAATGTCGTACATTTTGAAGCAGTATTACGCATATGACACCAGAACCATTTGTGAGCATGTTCGACCTAATAACGTGGAAATTTATACTTGGTTGGTTGGTTGGTTTGTTGTTTAACGCCGCACTCAGCAATATTCCAGCTATATGACGGCGGTCTGTAAATAATCGAGCCTGAACCAGACAATCCAGTGATTAATATCATGAGCATCGATCCACGCAATTATATACAATCCAGTTTGTACTTCCAGGGCAGATTTCACAACTTTCACTCTTTAAATACTGTTTCCGTGTTTACTACGGAAGCAAGCGTTAAACAGCTCTATATAGTTTTTTTCAAAATCAGATCCTCGCATCAACATCTTTCAAAATAAGTTTTAGGCAATACATTTACGACTTCTTACAGCGGAGTAAACGACCACCCCCGTCGGAGTAAGACTGCTACTCAGTCGCATTGATATTAAACCAACATTTACAGGTGGACAAAGAATACAAAAAATGTTGTGTTAGAGACATCCACTCGGGGCTTCAGTTAATGATGCATCACGCAGACTTCAGTAGTTACATTGGCGGGTCCAGGGGGAAAGGGGGGTATGTTGTTGGCAGTAAAAGACGTTTTTGATATTTTGGACCCCTATCTTTCAAAAATGCTAGATCCGCCCTTGTTCACAGGCCGCCGTGATAGACCTTGAATATTGCTGACTGCGGCGTCAAACAACACTCACTCATTCAACTGCACAGTAGATGTTTATTGCCTTGCTTAATGCTGGTTATAGTCTCAATGCAAATCAAAGAGTCATGCCTTAATATGACGGAAATTAATCTAAACAGAAGACACACACTCTCTTTATTGTTCCGATTAGCATGGTTAATTTTTTGCCTACATTCCTGTGGATATGTAAAAAACGCCTCAAACTAAAGTCCTTATGTCATGTTTTCTATGTTTAATGCGTTTTTCCCCTTTGTACAACATACATAGCCCGTCTAGCCAGTATACTACTATAATAAACTATTGATGCAGACAGTAGACATGCTCACTGACCTCACCTGACCTTGCGATGACCTCCCTTTACCATTCGGTGACCTTCAGACAGACATGTCAATCAGACGGTAGTTGCATTTGCGATATTTATCTGTTGTTTTTCGATATCATATTGACGTAACAATAAATAGATTGTCGAATACGCCAAATGTCTAACAATACGGTTATATGGTGTTTTACAGTGCATGTTATATGAAAAAAATGTTTTTTATTGATGAAACGTTAGTAAATCACAATAGGTGTTTATATAACATAAGGGGAGGTGAGGTTTAACGTCGCGTGCGTGCGTGCGTGCGTAGCAGTTCTGACTATTACCGGTCTCATAATATTACACCACTAAGTCTTAGATACGAAGCAACAGTTTTACATGAATATCTCACCCAGGCGTTCTCGAGCCGACCAGTCCCTGACCTTCCGCTCTCCGGACAAACGTTCTGTCCACTAGACCACGGAAGCGGTCAGTCAAGGCATACCCCATGTTAACATTCCTGCTGACCAGGAGTTGCCCGTAAACAAACTATTGGCACCAACGAATCATTTTCCATTTCAGATTTTCCAGCTATGCAGATAATGTCCTCTTTGCTTTTGTGGATTTTCGTCACTCTGACGTCATCAAAACACGTGATTCCCTCTCTGCCAGAATACACCCCTCACCACGCCTTCCACGCAGGACCAGTCCTTGGTTACCATGGCAACACCAACGACCAAGCATCCTATTTGCACGGACGTCCTTCGGGAGGTCGAGCTATTGGAAAGGTCAGAGGTGGGTCTGAAGGTCACTCTAATCATTGAGACCACATCCGTTAAAATAGAACACCGGGACCTGGAGGTCAACCAAATTCTTCAAAATGTCCAACATAAGTTGTTTTAGTTCCCTATACAAGAGTCAAAAGTCAAACTCTACCATGGATAAAATACAATTTGAATTCATGGAACACATTTGAGAGACATAGTTCGGGGATTCTAAACACAAACGTTAAGCTCCTTAAGCCTGTTGTTTCAGAATAGATGTCTGAGCTGCAGACAAATTATATACATGTTATATACAGGTGATAACATCCAATCAAATACGTGCATACATTGTACGTAGGTGGCCCGATGTGCAGAGTTGCGTCCCTTAGCAGCGTCAGAAATCTTTATCGTGGGTTCAAATCCCAGATTTGATGTACAGATTCTGGGTTTGTCAGCACCATACCCGTGCTCGTGGGTTTCGCCAAAGTAGTAAACGTGAGACCTGCATCGTTTCGGGCTTTCCTCGCACATCAAGCTGACACGCCATGATACCTGATATAAACAAAACTCGCTCACGGAATACTAATTGTGAATTAAAGTTCAAAATGACAATGCAGAATGGTCACAGCAACACAAGTTACAGTTCCAATTAGGCAACCATTGCGGCAACGTTTGATATTCTGTGATCATTTTGTAGAGAAACGTGTTGGGTTTAATACAAAGTTTCATTACGATAGACCGTGTTGTTTAAGGTAATGATCTAAAAACACCTTTCCTAAACCTTTGTATTTAGAAATAATACATGTTCTCGAAAGGGCAACACAAGTTACAGTTCCAATAAGGCAACCATTGCGGAAACGTTTGATATTCTGTGATCATTTTGTAGAGACACGTGTTGGGTTTAATACAAAGTTTCACTACGATAGACCGTGTTGTCTCAGGTAATGTTCTAAAAACACCTTTCCTAAACCTTTGTATTTAGAAATAATACATGTTCTCGAAAGGATTAATAGAAAGCAAGCCCCTAGCATCCTGTGCATGTCGTATAAGGCGACTCAATACATCGGGTGGTCAGGTAACGTTGGTTGATGTGTTCAACACCCTTAACTAATAACATCTCTTCGTGTGTTTCAGTTCGCCGCCTGGCGTCCCGATCTACGTCCAGAAAACAAGGTAATGAAGCATAGATGAGTTTAACGCCGCTTTCAACATTGACTAAGTTATATCACGGCGTGGCTGCTTGATGTTGGAGAAGATGGCCACGCGATGGAGGCATTAGATGGTTACCACTTTGGTGAAACCCACGAGCACGGGTATGGTGCTGACAAACCTGGAAACATTCAGGGTTAACCAGGATTCGAACTCACGATCATACGTTTCTTGTTCAGCTACCTACGGAGCCTTAGATGATAAACACAACAGGAGTAAAATTCCGCAACTTTAAATTGGGTGTTCGTAAGAAAAAAAACTTCCTGGCTTTGTTTGTTTGTTTGTTGTTTAACGCCGCTCTCAGCAATATTCCAGCTATATGACGGCGGTCTGTTAATAATCGAGTCTGGACCAGACAATCCAATGACCAGGCAACATCATGAACATCCATTTACACAATTGGGATACGACGACATGCATCAACCAAGTCAGGAAGCCTGACCACCCGATCCCGTTGGTCGGCTCATACGACAAGCATGGGTTGCTGAAGACCATTTCTAACCTGGATCTTAAGAGGTCGACTTTGTAATAATTAGGCATGTTATAACAATTTTCTTTTTCTTTCAGCGAGATACATGCAGATCCCAATTTATCGTCCCGGAATGCCTGGTAGTCGTTCTCCCGCCGCCATCAACATCAACACACTTCTACCATACCGCCGGAACTACTTCGACAGCTTCTTAGGTAATCTTTTCCTTAGTATCCGGAGGACATTAGGAAACACCGAACCATCAAACACTGTAGTAGAAACAGAATATCATTAACTGCTAGAATAGTCTTACAATTAGAGACGTAGAGAAGCCAGAAGGTACAATTTCCTGCAAAATTTCCAGATAACCGAACTAAAGGTACGGTGTGATATTATCTAAAATATGAAATGAATATAGTGTTCTTGACTAAAAGGGTCCGGTTTTACATGGTTAAACTGTTTGTGAATGCACCAAATATCTGTAGGTTATTATATATGTCTTAGATAATGTGACCATCACATCACGCCATCGTTCATAGTCAACAAGGGGAGGAAGGATTACTTTATGGTAAGAGCGTAAGCTTGTCACGCCAAAGACCCGGGTTCGAACATTAACAGGGGGTAAAATGTGTGAAGCCTTTTCTTGTTCATCGGAGTCATTTCAGTGGAATAGTAGTTAAAGCGATACACAGATGACATCCTTACCTTGTCAGTGTAGCAGGGCGTGGTGTCATCCCACATATGACATCCTTACCTTGTCAGTGAAGCAGGGCGTGGTGTCATCCCACAGATGACATCCTTATCTTGTCAGTGTAGCAGGGCGTGGTGTCATCCCACAGATGACATCCTTACCTTGTCAGTGAAGCAGGGCGTCATGTCATCCCACAGATGACATCCTTATCTTGTCAGTGTAGCAGGGCGTGGTGTCATCCCACAGATGACATCCTTACCTTGTCAGTGTAGCAGGGCGTCATGTCATCCCACAGATGACATCCTCACCATGTCAATGTAGAGGGCGGGGAGTCATCCCACAGATGACATCCTTACCTTGTCAGTGCAGCAGGGCGTGGTGTCATTCCACTGATGACATCCTTACCTTGTCAGTGTAGCAGGGCGTGGTGTCATCCCACAGATGGCATCCTTACCTTGTCAGTGAAGCAGGGCGTCATGTCATCCCACAGATGACATCCTTACCTTGTCAGTGCAGCAGGGCGTGGTGTCATCCAACAGATGACATCCTTACCTTGTCAGTGTGGAAAGGGCGTGGAGTCATCCCACAGATGACATCCTTACCATGTCAATGTAGAGGGCGGGGAGTCATCCCACAGATGACATCCTTACCTTGTCAGTGCAGCAGGGCGTGGTGTCATTCCACTTATGACATACTTACCTTGTCAGTGTAGCAGAGCGTGGTGTCATCCCACAGATGGCATCCTTACCTTGTCAGTGTAGAAGGGCGGGGTGTCATCCCACAGATGACATCCTTACCTTGTCAGTGTAACAGGGCGAGGTGTCATCCCACAGATGATATCCTTACCTTGTCAGTGTAGCAGGGCGGGATGTCATCCCACAGATGACATCCTTACCTTGTCAGTGTAGCAGAGCGTGGTGTCATCCCACAGATGACTTCCTTACCTTGTCAGTGTAGCAGAGCGTGGTGTCATCCCACAGATGACATCCTTACCGTGTCAGTGTAGCAGCATGTGGCGTTATCACATAGATGACATCCTTACCTTGTCAGTGCAGCAGGGCGCGGTGTCATCCCTCAGATGAAATCCTTACCGTGTCAGTGCAGCAGGGCGTGGTGTCATCCAACAGATGACATCCTTACCTTGTCAGTGTGGAAAGGACGTGGAGTCATCCCACAGATGACATCCTCACCATGTCAATGTAGAGGGCGGGGAGTCATCCCACAGATGACATCCTTACCTTGTCAGTGCAGCAGGGCGTGGTGTCATTCCACTGATGACATCCTTACCTTGTCAGTGTAGCAGAGCGTGGTGTCATCCCACAGATGGCATCCTTACCTTGTCAGTGTAGAAGGGCGGGGTGTCATCCTACAGATGACATCCTTACCTTGTCAGTGTAACAGGGCGAGGTGTCATCCCACAGATGACATCCTTACCTTGTCAGTGTAGCAGGGCGGGGTGTCATCCCACAGATGACATCCTTACCTTGTCAGTGTAGCAGAGCGTTTTGTCATCCCACAGATGACTTCCTTATCTTGTCAGTGTAGCAGAGCGTGGTGTCATCCCACAGATGACATCCTTACCTTGTAAGTGTAGCAGGACGTCGTGTCATCCCACAGATGACTTCCTTACCTTGTCAGTGTAGCAGGGCGGGGTGTCATCCCACAGATGACTTCCTTACCTTGTCAGTGTAGCAGAGCGTGGTGTCATCCCACAGATGGCATCCTTACCTTGTCAGTGTAGCAGGGCGTGGTGTCATTTCACAGATGACATCCTTACCTTGTCAGTGCAGCAGGGCGTCGTGTCATCCCACAGATGACATCCTTACCTTGTCAGTGCAGCAGGGTGCGGTGTCATCCCACAGATGACATCCTTACCTTGTCAGTGAAGCAGGGCGTCATGTCATCCCACAGATGACATCCTTATCTTGTCAGTGTAGCAGGGCGTGGTGTCATCCCACAGATGACATCCTTACCTTGTCAGTGAAGCAGGGCGTCATGTCATCCCACAGATGACATCCTTATCTTGTCAGTGTAGCAGGGCGTGGTGTCATCCCACAGATGACATCCTTACCTTGTCAGTGTAGCAGGGCGTCATGTCATCCCACAGATGACATCCTCACCATGTCAATGTAGAGGGCGGGGAGTCATCCCACAGATGACATCCTTACCTTGTCAGTGCAGCAGGGCGTGGTGTCATTCCACTGATGACATCCTTACCTTGTCAGTGTAGCAGGGCGTGGTGTCATCCCACAGATGGCATCCTTACCTTGTCAGTGAAGCAGGGCGTCATGTCATCCCACAGATGACATCCTTACCTTGTCAGTGCAGCAGGGCGTGGTGTCATCCAACAGATGACATCCTTACCTTGTCAGTGTGGAAAGGGCGTGGAGTCATCCCACAGATGACATCCTTACCATGTCAATGTAGAGGGCGGGGAGTCATCCCACAGATGACATCCTTACCTTGTCAGTGCAGCAGGGCGTGGTGTCATTCCACTTATGACATACTTACCTTGTCAGTGTAGCAGAGCGTGGTGTCATCCCACAGATGGCATCCTTACCTTGTCAGTGTAGAAGGGCGGGGTGTCATCCCACAGATGACATCCTTACCTTGTCAGTGTAACAGGGCGAGGTGTCATCCCACAGATGATATCCTTACCTTGTCAGTGTAGCAGGGCGGGATGTCATCCCACAGATGACATCCTTACCTTGTCAGTGTAGCAGAGCGTGGTGTCATCCCACAGATGACTTCCTTACCTTGTCAGTGTAGCAGAGCGTGGTGTCATCCCACAGATGACATCCTTACCGTGTCAGTGTAGCAGCATGTGGCGTTATCACATAGATGACATCCTTACCTTGTCAGTGCAGCAGGGCGCGGTGTCATCCCTCAGATGAAATCCTTACCGTGTCAGTGCAGCAGGGCGTGGTGTCATCCAACAGATGACATCCTTACCTTGTCAGTGTGGAAAGGACGTGGAGTCATCCCACAGATGACATCCTCACCATGTCAATGTAGAGGGCGGGGAGTCATCCCACAGATGACATCCTTACCTTGTCAGTGCAGCAGGGCGTGGTGTCATTCCACTGATGACATCCTTACCTTGTCAGTGTAGCAGAGCGTGGTGTCATCCCACAGATGGCATCCTTACCTTGTCAGTGTAGAAGGGCGGGGTGTCATCCCACAGATGACATCCTTACCTTGTCAGTGTAACAGGGCGAGGTGTCATCCCACAGATGACATCCTTACCTTGTCAGTGTAGCAGGGCGGGGTGTCATCCCACAGATGACATCCTTACCTTGTCAGTGTAGCAGAGCGTTTTGTCATCCCACAGATGACTTCCTTATCTTGTCAGTGTAGCAGAGCGTGGTGTCATCCCACAGATGACATCCTTACCTTGTAAGTGTAGCAGGACGTCGTGTCATCCCACAGATGACTTCCTTACCTTGTCAGTGTAGCAGGGCGGGGTGTCATCCCACAGATGACTTCCTTACCTTGTCAGTGTAGCAGAGCGTGGTGTCATTCCACTGATGACATCCTTACCTTGTCAGTGTAGCAGAGCGTGGTGTCATCCCACAGATGGCATCCTTACCTTGTCAGTGTAGCAGGGCGTGGTGTCATTTCACAGATGACATCCTTACCTTGTCAGTGCAGCAGGGCGTCGTGTCATCCCACAGATGACATCCTTACCTTGTCAGTGCAGCAGGGTGCGGTGTCATCCCACAGATGACATCCTTACCTTGTCAGTGTAGAAAGGGCGTGGTGTCATCCCACAGATGACATCCTTACCTTGTCAGTGTAGCAGAGCGTTTTGTCATCCCACAGATGACTTCCTTATCTTGTCAGTGTAGCAGAGCGTGGTGTCATCCCACAGATGACATCCTTACCTTGTAAGTGTAGCAGGACGTCGTGTCATCCCACAGATGACTTCCTTACCTTGTCAGTGTAGCAGGGCGGGGTGTCATCCCACAGATGACTTCCTTACCTTGTCAGTGTAGCAGAGCGTGGTGTCATCCCACAGATGGCATCCTTACCTTGTCAGTGTAGCAGGGCGTGGTGTCATTTCACAGATGACATCCTTACCTTGTCAGTGCAGCAGGGCGTCGTGTCATCCCACAGATGACATCCTTACCTTGTCAGTGCAGCAGGGTGCGGTGTCATCCCACAGATGACATCCTTACCTTGTCAGTGAAGCAGGGCGTCATGTCATCCCACAGATGACATCCTTATCTTGTCAGTGTAGCAGGGCGTGGTGTCATCCCACAGATGACATCCTTACCTTGTCAGTGAAGCAGGGCGTCATGTCATCCCACAGATGACATCCTTATCTTGTCAGTGTAGCAGGGCGTGGTGTCATCCCACAGATGACATCCTTACCTTGTCAGTGTAGCAGGGCGTCATGTCATCCCACAGATGACATCCTCACCATGTCAATGTAGAGGGCGGGGAGTCATCCCACAGATGACATCCTTACCTTGTCAGTGCAGCAGGGCGTGGTGTCATTCCACTGATGACATCCTTACCTTGTCAGTGTAGCAGGGCGTGGTGTCATCCCACAGATGGCATCCTTACCTTGTCAGTGAAGCAGGGCGTCATGTCATCCCACAGATGACATCCTTACCTTGTCAGTGCAGCAGGGCGTGGTGTCATCCAACAGATGACATCCTTACCTTGTCAGTGTGGAAAGGGCGTGGAGTCATCCCACAGATGACATCCTTACCATGTCAATGTAGAGGGCGGGGAGTCATCCCACAGATGACATCCTTACCTTGTCAGTGCAGCAGGGCGTGGTGTCATTCCACTTATGACATACTTACCTTGTCAGTGTAGCAGAGCGTGGTGTCATCCCACAGATGGCATCCTTACCTTGTCAGTGTAGAAGGGCGGGGTGTCATCCCACAGATGACATCCTTACCTTGTCAGTGTAACAGGGCGAGGTGTCATCCCACAGATGATATCCTTACCTTGTCAGTGTAGCAGGGCGGGATGTCATCCCACAGATGACATCCTTACCTTGTCAGTGTAGCAGAGCGTGGTGTCATCCCACAGATGACTTCCTTACCTTGTCAGTGTAGCAGAGCGTGGTGTCATCCCACAGATGACATCCTTACCGTGTCAGTGTAGCAGCATGTGGCGTTATCACATAGATGACATCCTTACCTTGTCAGTGCAGCAGGGCGCGGTGTCATCCCTCAGATGAAATCCTTACCGTGTCAGTGCAGCAGGGCGTGGTGTCATCCAACAGATGACATCCTTACCTTGTCAGTGTGGAAAGGACGTGGAGTCATCCCACAGATGACATCCTCACCATGTCAATGTAGAGGGCGGGGAGTCATCCCACAGATGACATCCTTACCTTGTCAGTGCAGCAGGGCGTGGTGTCATTCCACTGATGACATCCTTACCTTGTCAGTGTAGCAGAGCGTGGTGTCATCCCACAGATGGCATCCTTACCTTGTCAGTGTAGAAGGGCGGGGTGTCATCCCACAGATGACATCCTTACCTTGTCAGTGTAACAGGGCGAGGTGTCATCCCACAGATGACATCCTTACCTTGTCAGTGTAGCAGGGCGGGGTGTCATCCCACAGATGACATCCTTACCTTGTCAGTGTAGCAGAGCGTTTTGTCATCCCACAGATGACTTCCTTATCTTGTCAGTGTAGCAGAGCGTGGTGTCATCCCACAGATGACATCCTTACCTTGTAAGTGTAGCAGGACGTCGTGTCATCCCACAGATGACTTCCTTACCTTGTCAGTGTAGCAGGGCGGGGTGTCATCCCACAGATGACTTCCTTACCTTGTCAGTGTAGCAGAGCGTGGTGTCATTCCACTGATGACATCCTTACCTTGTCAGTGTAGCAGAGCGTGGTGTCATCCCACAGATGGCATCCTTACCTTGTCAGTGTAGCAGGGCGTGGTGTCATTTCACAGATGACATCCTTACCTTGTCAGTGCAGCAGGGCGTCGTGTCATCCCACAGATGACATCCTTACCTTGTCAGTGCAGCAGGGTGCGGTGTCATCCCACAGATGACATCCTTACCTTGTCAGTGTAGAAAGGGCGTGGTGTCATCCCACAGATGACATCCTTACCTTGTCAGTGTAGCAGGGCGTCGTGTCATCCCACAGATGACTTCCTTACCTAGTATTCTACCATCACTGGTCACGTGGACAAGGCGCCTGACCTCGGATGAGAAAGTTCGTGGTTCGAATCCCAGAAAAACGCGGAAATTGTATGGGCGCTACATTGTATAGGTTGCGACAACATTGATAACTTAATGGACTATACCTTTATTAAACTTGTTTTCTGTAAAAATACATACAAATCGGTTATCGGTTATTATTTATAGATATTTATAGATATATGGATGAACAACTTCTTATTACACTTAGGATCGACGTTTTGGTGTAGGTTCGAACACCGTGATGTTTATCCACATATCGTATCCTTAGCTAGTACTCCAACTTCTAAATGCCTCCCAAAGAAGTTATTATTTACCTTTCAGCATCCCAGTTTTGGATCAGTCCCAACCCAACAGCAATCAACCCCGTGGCCCCACCAATCAGGGCTCGCTTCACTTCTCCACGGGCCAGCAAGCATGTTGAGTCTCCGCCAATCATATCACCCCTAGCAAACGCAATTGACAAGGACCTACCAGTGATGACGAAACAAAGCAGTAAGTGGGTGTGGCCTAACAGTGACGTCACGGGTCCCTTGAGTAGTTTTACAATTAATGTCAATAAACTGTAGATGATCCTATCGTTGTGTTCGCTGGCGAAACTAGATACAGATTAGATTTGACATCGACTCCCTAGCCGACTGGCTAATCGCTGCAATGATAACCTATATTGACGATTTGAAGAGGCATGGCTCAGCCCAGCAGGGTTAGCATGAGCGATGGACAAACAGTTATTATAACACTACAGACAATGCCCTGGCTTCACATAGAAGAAATCACGTCTGGATCTGGAGTGAGTGAGTTGTGTTTAACGCCGCTTTTAACGGTATTACATATCATATCACGGCGTGTCAGCTTAATATGGGAGGAAAGCCCAAATTGATGCAGGTCTCAGACGTTTACCACGTTGGTGAAACCTACGAGCACGGGTATGGTGCTGACAAACCTTGAAACATAATAGGGGCGAACCGGGATTCGAACCCACAACCATAGGTTTCTGGCAACTCTGCACAGCTACTCTGTCTCAGACGACTGGGCCACCGGTGCCCCCTGGATCTGGACAACATATTGGGGATCATACTGTAGCATACGATCCCTGAAGATCCAGGGTAGAATAGGTCTACAGCAACCCATGCTTGTCGTAAAAGTCGACCATGCTTGTCGTAAGAGGCGACTAACGGGATCGGGTGGTCAGGCTCGCTGACTTGGTTGATGCATGTCATCGTGTCCCAATGGCGTGGATCGATGCTCGTGATATCAATCACTGGATTGTCTGGTCCAGACTCGATTATTTACAGACAGTCGTCATATAGCTGGAATATTGCTGAGTGCGGCGTTAAACAACAAACAAATGAAAACAAACTGTTGCAGACCGCCGCGTCATACTAAAAGACGTTAAAAGATGGCACTTGTTGTCACCCTGCCTGGTGTTCGGCATTAAGGGGCTAAAACAAGGACTGGTGGGTCGGAGTCTCGGCCTCGATGGGCTGGCACTATAAAATCGGCATCATTCCGGACTTGTACAAGCAGCCACACACACGCTATAAGTGCATTAATCTTGGAAGCGACGTTACACCCCATTTCACCTCACCTCACCTCACCTCATACTGAAGCAATCAGGAAAGATGGGAGCTGACTGGAAAGACAAAAAGGTCCACCACCTGAAGATGATCTGTAGAATTATCAGGTATTTATAGGTTATGGGCACACACAATTTTCATCTGCTACGTAAATACATAGGTTTCATCTGTGATGGGAACATTCGTTAATCTGTTGTGTAAATACATAGGTTTCATTTGACATGGGAACATTCGTTTATCTGTTATGGGAACATATGTTTCATCTGTTATGGGAACATTCGTTCATCTGTTATGGGAACATTCGTTCATCTGTTATGGGAACATATGTTTCATCTGTCGTGGGAACATTCGTTCATCTGTTGTGTAAATACATAGGTTTCATCTGTTCTGGGAATATTCGTTTCATCTGCAATGTGAAGACACACGAGTCATTATGGACTGATCCCAGAAGAGAGCCTCACGGTCAGTTATGCTACGTGCACGGTGGGTACGAGCGTTATCGCCTTGAAAGACAAAACGTAGACTAGCGTGGAGCGTCCCTTGGGCACATCAGAAACCTGCGGTCGTGGGTTCGAATCCCGGTTCGCCCCGATTGTGTTTCTAGGTTTGTCAACACCACACCCGTGCTCGTGAGTTTCACCGAAGTGGTAAACGTCTAAGACCTGCATCACTTGGGGCTTTCTTCCCACTTTAAGCAGACACGCCGTGATATAACTGGAATACAGATATCTGACGTGTTACTATGAATAATAAATGTCAACAATACTATTGGCTCAAGGCGATTTGACGACCTTTCACTAAACGTGTCACAATCAAGAAAGACCCACGTGCACCTGTAATTGCATGCTCCATGTGCAATATTTCGGGTTTGAGGCGGTACGTTTTGGTGAGGTGAAATGGGGTTTAACGTCGGGTCCAAGATTATTGCACTTATATAGCGACGTGTATGTACGTGTGTGTGTTTGTGTGGCTGCTTGTACTAGTCCGGACTGATGCCGATTTATAGTTCTATCTCACTGAGATACCATGCCGCAGTTTAACATGAATATCCCACTCAGACACAGAATACTGACTCCGAGCCGATCAGTCCTTGTTTTAGCCCCATCGTTTTACGTCTTTTGGTATGACGCGGCCGGGGATCGAACCCAGGACCTTCCGCTCTCCGGGCGGACACTCTAGCACTAGACCACGGAGGCGGTAGGGTACGTTTTGGACCCGAGACCGTTCTGTCACTGGCAGTCTTGTTTCAAAGCTGATCTTTCTTCTGGCGTCTGATCATCACATCTTTATTTCAAGATACCTTACATCTTGGAGAGTATATGATGAAAAAATAAGACGATACCATTTGAAAAACAGTCAGGAACCAACATGGAACAGTCACAGAACATAACATCAGATCATCTATAACAATTGACTGATTGTGTGTTGTTCAACGCCGCACTCAGCAGTATTCCAGCTATACGACGGCGATCTGTAAATTATCGAGTCTGGACCAGACAATCCAGTGATTGACATTATAAGCATCGATCCACACAACTGGGATACGATGACATGCATCAACTAAGTCAGCGAGCCTGACCACCCGGTACCGTTAGTCGCAAATTCCGACACGGAAAGTCGCCTTTTACCGCAAGCATGGGTTGCTGAAGACCTATTCTACCCCGGATCTTCACGGGTCTATAAGGTAACAAATGTTATATTTGTGATAACATTAACATTCTTTATTTTGTATTTAAACGTGTTTCTTCAGAAGCATCAATACATAAAACGATGCTCAAGGGGCAAGGGGGTACGGGTGGCCCAGTCGTCTAAGGCGCCGCGATTCGCTGTGCAGAGTTGCGTCCCTTGGGCATGCCAGAAACCTATGATTGTGGGTTCGAATCCCGTGCTCGTGGGTTTCACCGAAGTGGTAAACGTCTTAGACCTGCATCAACTCGGGCTTTCCTCCCACATTAGGCTTACACGCCGTGATATAACTGGAATAATGTTAAAAGCGGCGTTAAACCCAACTCACTCACTCACTCAAGGGGCGATTTTATGGAGAAATGTACAGAAGCCTAGTAGGGACATCTGCTTTTTTTCATTTTTTTCTTGAAATGTCAAGGTGCTAATTTGAGATTGCAAGATGATATGTTGACATTCAAGATACGAAATTGAAGGCTTCCGTAGAACTGTGGTGCTTGAGGTGCTAACTGTGTGTCATGTGTTTGACACAATGAACCAGTCAACTTGAACTATTGTTGCGTCCCCAAGGAACGAGGGGCCCAGTCGTCTAAGGCGCCGCGATTCGCTGTGCAGAGTTGCGTCTCTTGGGAACGCCAGAAACCTATGATTGTGGATTCGAATCCCGGTTCGCCCCGATTATGTTTCTAGGTTCGTCAGCACCTTACCGTGCTCGTGGGTTTCATCGAAGTGGTAAACGCCTGAGACCTGCATCACTTCGGGCTTTCCTCCCACTTTAAGCCGACCCGCCGTGATATAACTGGAATACTGTTAAAAGTGGCGTTAAATCACTCACTCACTCCCTATCAACGCGTCCAACGTTTAATAAATGTTATTATCTTTTTTCCCGAAAGCATTTCGGGACTTTTGTTGCCTATTATGTTGTCGTGGACTGATAATTGTTGACAATGGCGACCTGTTTCTTTACAGGATATCATAATCAATGTTCATATTAATTTCGCACCGTTGCACATTACCAGATGAAATGCCGACAACAACACAAATGCTTTGTAGTTCTTGCTGGGGATGGTAATCAACCAGAGATATTGGACAAGGGTTTCATCATTTTCAGTTCAGTGCGGATCCAGAATCTGATATGCTTGAGACTAGCATATCAAAACGGGCACAATCACGAACGAACTATTCTGTCAGGTAGGTAAACAGAGCATAACAGATCGTTGCTGAGATAAGTTTAGTCGCCAGACAATTCGTTGCAAAGTTATATATGAATACAGTGTATATGGATAACTATACATAGATGCTTATACACGTTCATACAGTATATTCACTGTCACATTGATTATTCCTTCGTTAAAATCCGGGTTAGAAATGGACCTCAGCAACCAACGCTTGTCGCAAGAGGCGACTAAAGGGATTGGGTGGTAAGACTCGCTGACTAAGTTGATGCATGTAATCGTATCCCAATTGCGTAGATCGACCCTCGCGATGCCAATCGCTTGATTTTCTGGCCCAGATTTGATTATTTGCAGACCGCCGTCATATAGCTGGAATATTGCTGGGTGCGGCGTAAAACAACAGTCATCAATAATTCATGAGCCTGTATGTGTTCATGGGTTGGTTGCCAGTAGGCAGAGAACGTGTGTCAACATTGTAGTCGATGGTGGTATATCTATAATTACACGACCGCTTCCGTGGTCTAATGGTAGAGCGTCCGCCTGGAGAACGGAAGGTCCGGGGATCGATCCTCGACCGCGTCATACCAAAAGACGTTACTTGTCTGGCGCTCGGCATTAAGGGGCTAAAACAAGGACTGGTCGGCTCGGAGTCAGTATACTGTGTCTGAGTGGGGTATTCATGTTAAACTGCGGCATGGTATCTCAGTGAGCTGGCAGTCCGGACTAGTACAAGCAGCCACATACACACACATACACGTGCATGCACGTCGCTATATAAGTGCAATAATCTTGGACGCGACGTTAAACCCTATTTCACCTCACCCCATCTATAATTACACTGATGGATGAAAATATACAACACGTTTTCCCATTCGTGTTAAAGTTAAAAAGTGTTTGTATGAACCAGCAAAGAGTGAGTATGGTTTTACACCGCTTCAAGCAATATTCCTGCATGGCGGGGTACAATGGGCTTCAAACCCGAACTTTCGGCGTGACAAGCGAACGTTTTAACCACTAGGCTACCCCACCGTCACTATGATCCATATAAACCATGAGTGGTGTTGTAGTATCTTGTGAACTAACTTGCCAAAATTCGCTGGTATCCTCGAGTACGCTTGAAATCCATTCCAAACACACATCCCTTTATAACCGTTCCCCTATTTCCTCATTGGCATAATACTCAAAAAATTGTTAAGGACTTTCTTGAATGACAGATTAACTTTAACTAATAACTTTTTAGTAGTATATACAGCGCCCCGGAGAAGTCATACATTCGAGATAATCCTGTGATACTGTGTTTTTCGGATATTTATGATTTTTCAAGTTTAAAATAAACATGGCGAAATGAAAATGAAACTTAGGAAAGAGAAGATATTTACTCAAACAAGATCAGACACGTTTGAGCGAATACTGTTTTACGCCGCAGTCAGTAGTATCCAGCTGTATCATGTAAGTAATCGAGTCTGGACCAGGCAAACCAGTGACTGCAAGCATCTTCATCAGGCCTCTGACAAAGCAATGAAGCAAATAAACACGGCAAAACCCTTTTGACATCCATAAGAAATGTCTGCTAAAAGCAGAGTCGATTGTACGAATATGATTATAAGCATGTGTCTGTGAATCACTGTCAAGTAGTGGTTATGACAGGAGTTCGCGAAAAGGTAAGTGATTGTTGCACCCGTCGAAAGTTATCCTGTAAAAACACGGGAACGTATGGTACAAGTCAAAATAGGGAATTGCATCGGGCATCTTTTTAGTCAGTGATGCGTCAGTTTTGGAATGTCCCCCACATGTCTACCCTAAAACTGTTTGAAAGCTTTACTGAGGCCTTGAATGTTCTAACCTTGATCAAACAACTTCTGAACAAGAGTCGTAAGACGCTCTTTTAAATTTTCGTTGAAAGAGCCTAGTACCTCAAAAGTTGTGAAGACACAAAATAATACCATGCTACCACACATTACGCATCGGGCAAAGTTATGCCACGGTCGGTGCTGCAGAAATCGTGTATCTTCTTGTTCTAGTCCGGACTAATGCCGATTTTATAGTCCAAGCCCACTGAGATACCATGCAGCATGACATGGATACCCCGCTCAGACACAGTATACTGATTCCGAGTAGACCAGTTCTTGTTTTAGCCCCTAATTAATGCCGTATTTTTATTTTTATTTCAATAAAAAATAGAACTGAAGTTGTGATACATTCTGGCGATCTTTCGCTGTGTCATTTGTTCACGACCGCTCTCCTTACCTTTGCCTCTCCCCCTCCCCCAATAAAAAATGACCCGAACTCTTTTCCGCCTTCATCCAGATTCTAAATGACACAACTGTAGCTGCTCGTCTATTGTATACGAGCTTGCATACTGTGTTAACAGTACATGGCGGTATTCCTTCGCCTACCGCTACGCAAGGCACACATGAGAGATAACAAGCCTGACTTACTTATTCCGGGTCAAGGTTCACCACACACACCCGACTGACAGGTTACGAGCGCGTTTTGTGTGCAAGCTGTGTTGGTGGATAGCAGACGGATACCGGCAGACATGTAACAACCAGTGATGCAGTTTCAGTAAGCAGGACGACTAGGAGCTGACGTTGTTGAAGTGAGATTCAATTTCATGATCAAGTCTTACCTGCCGTGACAACCGTTCGTCTCATCCCATATTCAAGTATATGGGGTCGAAGGTCAAAGCGTGCAGCGGGCGAGTCCTTTTGAGGCAAGGGATGTGAGGGTCGTTTTTTTCTGTATCAGTTGGATGTTTACCGACCAAGAACAGGTTGTACAGGCCTATGTGTAAGCATTTATAGTGATATTTGATTTATGAGTGCATTAGAATATACCTTTTTCCAATTGTTTAGATTCTTTGGGATTCCGACAGTGAACAGTGACTGAGTGAGTAGTGTTTTACGCCTCTGTAAACATAAGTCCAGGTATATCACGGTGGGGACTCTTCAAGTTACCCATGTGGGTAAGCGAAAGCGGGTATTCCGCTTAACAAGTCAACCTTTTAACCACTCCCCCTTCCCCCATCAATCCATCAATGAGTTTGCTTGTAACCTGATGTCCTCCCCCTCAACCAAATTTGTTGGCTGTTTCCGATAAAGAAACGTACATGTTCATGTATTTGATTAAAATTTGAATTTGGACTTCAATATTTCTTAAAACACCAGTACAATGAAGTCAACAAGTTGTTTCGTTTAACTCAGTTGTCATTGTAGTCACCTTAAGCTCAAATTTCCGCCTTGTATACGCTATTGTTTATCATGTTTACCAGCTGCCTGGGTGAGTCTATTGTGTGACTGAAGGGGTGTCTTGATAAAACATAAATCACGGGTGTATGAAGTTGTCTTGATAACACTGGAGGCGAACTGCACTGAAGGCGAACTGCGCTGTAGCTGAAGTGCACTGTAGGTGAACTGCGCTGTAGGCGAACTGCGCTGTAGAGGAACTGCACTGTAGGCGAACTGCGCTGAAGGGGTACTGCGCTGCACTGTAGGCGAACTGCGCTGCACTGTAGGCGAACTGCGCTGCACTGTAGGTGAACTGCACTGTAGGCGAACTGCGCTGTAGGGAACTGCGCTACACTGTAGGGGAACTGCACTGTAGGCGATAGGAGATGACTCAGATTTGTATTTTTTCCAGTTAATCCCTCTATTGTACGTCAACTCCGATAAACCTCTCCGCGTGTCCAGTTAACCGGCCTACGCAGGTATTGTTCTCATAAACTGTTAGTTTTACCCCCACCCAACCCCTGCCAGCCTGTCCTAAAGAAAAGTGAGAACAAACCCTTTTAACGTGTCAACGTAAACTCCATATGGAATAGAGAAGAAACATTCGCAGCTCACCCGAGCGCCCTGTCTCTATTCTGTGACCAGGCCCACTGTTAGAGACCCTTCACAGGGGTCATTGGCCTCCACAGCTGACCTCTCCAGGTGAGCTTATTCCCAGTGACGCCAGCCGCAGTTGAAATAGTGCAGCTTGGCTGAGTTCCCATTGTTAATTACATTAATTTTTGTTTGTAGTAAACACTTTTATCTTTTTTTACCAAACGGTGGCGACAACTTTTAAAACCTGATGAAACAGGGCTGCGTGAATGATTTGAAATATGCCTACCAGCAATCTGGACAGCGAAACTTTTGTCATGGATGTATTGTGATGGATATTATAAAGGTAGCGCTATTTTTCAGAGCATTATCATTTGCAGAAGCCAGAGGTTCCATAACTGCCCGACAAAGGAGGGCAGTTGAGAAGAGCGAGGGCTTCTACAAATAATAATGCCCTGAAAAAGAGCGTTACAGTTATTATAGCTAAAATGGATGGAATTTGTTATCAAATTAAATGAAACAACAATATCGGTTTTGAAAAATTAACTGCAAACAACAAAAATGTCACTGACCCACCTTTACAAATATGGAAACGTCATAGAACAAACCAGTTGACGTCACTATTGAACGAGACGTCACCTTACAACGTGCTTGATAATGGCCCGTCGTCAAGCAATATGAGGGCATTATCAAGTTACAGACAGGTGGCCTAGTCGTCTAAGGCGCCGCGATTCGCTGTGCAGAGTTGCGTCCCTTGTGCACGCCAGAAACCTATGATTATGGGTTCTAATACAGGTTCGCCCCGATTATGTTTCTAGGTTTGTCAGCATCATACCCGTGCTCGTGGGTTTCACCGACGTGGTACACGTCTGAGACCCACATCACTTTGGGCTTTCCTCCCACATTAAGCTGACACGCCGTGCTATAACTGTACACTGTTAAAAGCGGCGTTAAACCGAACTCACTCACTCAATCACTCACTCACAGTCCGTCCTGATATATACTGCTAGGCAAAAGAAAGTATACACCCAGGTTTGATCGTGGCTAAAACTGAAACAAAACGAGATGGTTGTTCGATGGTGATGTATAAGATACGGATATCATTATTGTGTTTTCTGTCATAAGTTGGAAGTGTTTCAGCTTCTGGTTTCATCCTAGTAACGTTTTGATGACGTTTGTAATTTTTTTTAATGAAATTCAATGTTCAAGTGCATACTTTCTTGAAAATGAAAAACAAATATAGATTATCTCATTTTGATTTCACCTTTCAGTTAACTCGTGAAAGCGCAATCAACCACCTCTACCCAGGTTTTGGTGTAGAGAGACAGTTCCCAAAGACATTATGGCGCCGACAGTAAATTCAGAAAAGACAAGCCTTATTCCAAACAGCCGAGACGCCGAACGGCAGACGACAATAAGGACAGTCCGACAGAACCTTACCGCGCTATGTGTTGTCTGGATGTTCACGTTTACAGCGTACTCAGGATTACAGAACCTGGAAGCAAGTCTCAATCTCGATCTCGGAATCTACTCTTTAGCCGCCATTACCGGAAGTGGCCTCATCACGTGCATCCTTGCTCCCGCCATCATCAAATTCACCGGATGCAAAGGAGCTCTAATTATATCCTGGATATGTTTCTGTGTGTTTGTTGGTTCCAACTATTACCCGAAGACCTATTCCTTGATTCCTGGCTCGATAATTATCGGTTTAGGAACTGGACTCCTATGGACTGCCCAAGGTGTATACGTGACTACCTCTGCTCTTGATTATTCCGATGTTACAGGTGAAAAAATGGATTCTGTGGTCAGTAGATTTTTTGGAATTTTTTGCATCGGGTTTCAGAGCACTCAGATATGGGGTAATCTCATTAGCTCCCTTGTTTTTCGTGATGTAAATAATAACATCACAATCGATGATGTAACTCATTGCGGAGCAGACGACTGTCCTGTGAATCTCCCGCCATTTTCGAACCAGACGTCACCGGTATCAAACAAACCAGACGACACGACGGTGTATGTTTTACTGACGATCTATCTCGGTTGTGTTGTGGCTGGACTTGTTATAACTGTACTCTTCCTGAAGCCAATCAAATCCCGTGGATCTGAGAGGGATACGGGCGCCATGACACTTCTGACGTCAACACTGCGTCTTCTTGTGACCGACCTGAACATGGTGTTGCTGGTGCCATTCTGTCTCTACACAGGCATGGAGCAGGTGGTTCTGTTCGCTGAATATACAAAGGTGGGTGCAAACTATTGAAACATTTGCAACATAAAGACATTTTTTCTCTTACACGAACCTTTGAAATGAAGAGCCACCTTTGTCAGCAAATTCCTGAGACATTTAGCAGAGACCCAGATATCATGTCTTCCACTATTTAACGGGGCGGTCGAGTAGCCTAGTGGTTAAAGCGTTCGCTCGTCACGCCGAAGACCCGGGTTCGATTCCCGACATGGGTACAATGTGTGGAGCCCATTTCTGGTGTCCCCCGCCGTGATATAGATGGAATATTGCTAAAAAAGCGGCGTAAACCATACCCACTCACTCCCACTCCACTATTTACTGACAGTGTTTAACTAATCAACGGATAATGTAATCAGTTCCATGCCTACTTCTTGCTCCTTCGTCGTGTTCAACGTTGCACGGCTATGTATTTTTATCCTTCATAGGCAAGACGTAGCCCCGACTCATCCTTAAAAAACATAATACAGAACTTGTTATCCATACAGATTGTAATATGTCTTAATGGCAATCATTGACTTCACATGTGCTCTATATTAAGCCCCTAACACAGTTATCTTTGGGTAACCTTTTGTTTACATGTTTACAATTTAAACGCTACACTGTCTGGGAGGTTAAAGGCGGGATCACTTTTGGCTTCTGGGTCTCTAGCAGTAAAGGGCGTACAGGACGACTAAGTGGATCGGGTTGTCAGGGTAGTAGACGTTGTTGTTGGCGTCGCGTCGTCGTACCCTGACTGCCCGGCACGCTGCTTTTTGTATCAAGCTGTATGTGCTCCAGGTATGTGCCGAATTCTTAACTGAGTCAGTAGCGCATTAGCCGCTGTCAACAATGATCTAGCTTCATCACGGCGGCATTTGGGTAACTGTGTAATTGAGGGTGGAATTGGAGACACGCTTCTTCTTAAAATATTCAACTTTTGTTTCAGTCGTTCGTGACGTGTTCTCTTGGCATCGACTGGGTCGGGTACACCATGATCTGCTTCGGGGTGTGTAACACCATCGGCTCCCCCATCGTTGGCTGGCTGTGTCGATACGTCGGCCGCGGTGTCCTCTTCCTTTTTGCTGCTGTGATGAACATCGCTCTGATCATAACCATGTTACTTTGGCATCCGTCGCCTAGCAACAAGGTTATGTTTTTTGTGGTTCCAGGTCTATGGGGTATGGCGGACGCTGTCTGGCAAACACAGAGCGCTGGTAATTGTTTTGATTTTCTTTGATCGTTATTCACTATTTTCCACACCAATACCGACCAGATTCTTTTCCCAAGACCAAGAAGGTACAGAGTCTTTACCAAATGCTAAAAATGTGTATCATCAAAATTGGCTGGGTTAACGGCGCCCGCTTGGAACACTGTAAAGACCGCGCGCGCGCGCGCGTGCTTGCGTGCGTGCGTGCGTGCGTGCGTGCATGCGTGTGTGTGTGGCGTGGTGTGTGTGTGTGTGTGTGAAGGTCTTGAATTTGGTACTGAAATTCTGTACAAACACTGGTAACGTGTATACTACCCAAATGAAAATATTTTCATATGACAATAGTCAATCTGTCATTTCTTTCTAGAACTATATATCACAACTTATCTCTCTTTACAGCTCTTATAGGTGTTGTGTTTGCGCACAAACAAGGGCCTGCCTTCGGTAATCTCAGGATGTTTCAAGCGACGGGATTCACTATAGCGTACATCTATAGCAACCAACTGTGTCAATATGTAAAACTCTACCTGATTGGTGCGTTCCTCGTTGTGTCCCTGACTCTGGTTGGTGTAGTACACATCAGACGTAAAAACCGCCCCAACTCGACCTATCCCCGAGCTGGAGATGAGACCTAGGGCCATTACGTTACTGTTCTGAAATGGGCTTGTCCAAGGGAGACAATTCAGTCTGACGTTTCTCCACAAAGACCAGACGAACAAGGACAATGTGGATTCAGCTCTATTCTTGTATATGTGCGACATTTATAATTAATTTTAATACAGACATTCAACTAAACACGCAGCGTTCAGAAGAGTTTTTTTTCAGAAACATGAGGACTCTACGATGAGTAGACCTACACATGATCACACATCTGCACATCCTTTTTTGAAAAACAACAAACCCGATTGAGTCGAATATAATCATCTGTCATTACTTCGACTTAAGCAACACTTTAGAGTTTAACTCTATCGAAACAGGCATATAATAAGTATAAGTATATAATGAAGTAGACAATACGTTAATGCGGTCTGTATCAGAACATAAGTCTCGGAGTCAAAACATAATCCAACAAAATAACTCTAAATTGCGGAACTGGAATCAGAGCCGAAATAATATTTAGCTTTCCAAAAAGTATTGAAAACTTTAGGGTCTGTCGAAGGTGAGATACCAGTCTTTCATTTTTAGCGGTCATACATGCGTTTGTCTTTAGTTATCAACATTGTATGTTGCTAGGTGGAGCAGGGGTCTTTTTAGTGCACACCTGGTGTCATGCTGGTGTTCAGTGACCCCTTCACGTAATTGTCGTCCCTAGTGTGCCTGATTGTTTTACTCGAGACTGATTGTTCTCAGGGGCAACCCGTTAGAAAACTCTGCCATTATCGCTCGAGGATATACATCGTATTTGACTTCATGTCATTACTTACTTTAAGAAAAGCTGCACGTCTTATTTTTAACACTTACTTCAATATGCGAATGCTTATTTGATCAAAAATGAACTTTTGAAAAAGCTTTCCTGATTCAAACGAAAACCGATAGCAGTCCCTTGGGAGTGTCTTCTTAATGTTGTCATTTCGAGCGAAAATATCTCCTTTCCCCCTTCACGAGATGAGTAAACATGATATTTCACGAGACACAAGGAATATCCTATTTATTGGGTACTTTGTGTGTGGGGGCACGGGTGGCCCAGTCGTCTAAGTCGCCGCGATTCTCTGTGCAGAGTTGCGTCCCTTGGAAACGCCAGAAACCTATGATTGTGGGTTCGAATCCCGGTTCGCCCCGATTATGTTTCTAGGTTTGTCAGCACCATACCCGTGCTCGTGGGTTTCACCGAAGTGGTAAACGTCGGAGACCTTCATCACTTCGGGCTTTCCTCCCACATTAAGCTGACTCGCCGTGATATAACTGGAACACTGTTAAAAGCGGCGTTAAACCCAACCCGATCACTCATTCACTCACTACAGAATTAAAAACATATTGATAAATCACAACTCATACCCTAGCATCCGGCTATAAAACCCCAGAGAATTGTAACACTGCTATACATGCTATATTTCCCTGTTTAACCCTTTTGCTGCTCTGTTTTGTTCTCATTTGGATTTTAGGAGAAGCGATCTCAGCGCTAAGGTGATCGTAACTCCCACACTTTAACATAGGCCAACGATCGTCGTGGCGCTACGATCGCTTACTGAAGCGGGATCCATCGGAACGCGGAGCCCAGTGTACTTAGCATCGCACTCTCAAACAGATGGCATCCTACTACACCCTGTTCACCAGCTTATATGGGAAGATAGTCTAAGAGCCATGCTGTGGTTGTTGATTTTCCTTTTATTGACTCTACTACTTTCTGTTGTTCTGAAACATGTGGGGAGTGCAATCAACAGACAATATACTCCAAAGAACTCAACAGTACCGTGTACACCAATGTACAAGGACATACAATGTTCACTCAGATTCATTCTTATACGGGGCGGTCGGGTAGCCTAGTGGTTAAAACGTTCGCTCGTCACACCGAAGACCCGGGTTCGATTCCCGACATGGGTACAATGTGTGAAGCCCATTTCTGGTGTCCCCCGTCGTGATATTGCTGGAATATTGCTAAAAGCAGCGTAAAACCATACTCACTCACTCATTATTATACAGTGTTTCCATTACTCAGCCATAAACTTCAGTTCAGTTTATATTCTAATCATTAATTTTCTTTTACATATACTTCCAGGTTACGCTATATATTGTTTTCATTCATGGGCAATATCATTTTTTATACATTTAAAAAAACAACTAATAGGGACACATAGACATTGATGGAACAGAATGTACAAATCAAACTTTAAAAAAGCTAATTATTGATTCAAAAATAAGAAACTAAGAAAATCAAATTTACTGACAATATCATTTCTTTTTCTTTCCTTCTTTAGTCTTACTACAGACGCTGTTAACATAACACGTATTAATAATACCTACGGGCTCAATAAGGATACCGAATTTTACAGCATAATATTTGCGTTCAGGATGAATTTGGGAGTGATTTGTTTTGATATGGTGTTCATATTTTTATCTGATGCTAGGTCCAAATATGGATATTCGTAATTTTTATATGTTTTAACACAAAGGCACGTGATGTCGTTCTTGACATATCTGTTGAATAAAAATTAATTAACAGATAATGGGTGTTTAACCAAACAGAAATATAAATACACAGAAATAAACAATTTAAGCAAGCAAGACTAGATTTCTCTTTAATAAACCAAGAGTTGATGCTACATGTAGAAGATAAACTACCCCACCTTATCGACCTGGCCATTCAACTTCTTTTTGAAAGAGTATGGAAGCTTAATAATTTACTCGAGGATCTGAGCTATTCAGAACTTCTATATTTGATGTCATAGAACAGTATGGTTAACAAAGTACAAATACCCCTATTATAGATCGTTATGGAAAAAACACTCGAAAATGTAAAGTTTACTATTAATTATCAGTTATGTTTAGGAACAATACTGCAGGATATTAGGACCAGAACACTAGAATATTCAGGTAGAAAGAGACTAGAAGCGAAAAAAAACTATTAAGATTTCGACGGTATAATAAGCGATTTGGAAAATTAATTGGATGGTGCGGTGAAATTACAACAATTTTAGACAAGATAGAGACTGAAAAAGGTAAACTTGAAAAAATAAAAAGGCGAAAATGCATATAGCCTTTGTTCGGCCTCGAGCTACAAGTTTGCTCAAGGGAGTTAAACCACCAAAATACTTTTGTAGTTGGAAAAGAGAAATTATGTAAAAAGACAATCACTAAGATAATTAATACAGGACACGTACTGACCAAACAATATAATAATTTAAAGAAAGTCAATCATGAAGAATTGTGAAAAATACATAAAGAGAATGAAGTTTTTCATGTTTAACTTTCAGAAATTCTTCAAAGTGATATTCCAAAGAAACCATGTGATGATATCATAGAAAAACCTACTTTTGAGAAGAAATACCTCGATCTCTAAAAAATCTGAAGAATTACTGATCTCTTAGGTCGTCTGGCTCTACTGCAGACTTTTATTTTTTTCTGGAAAGACAACGGTATATTTGTACTCAAGAGTAAAATCATGGCTACAAAACTGGCGAATTAACCGTAACACAAGGACGAGGAATAATTACACGTTTGCCAAAGGGAAATCAGCAAAGAGGAAATCTAAAGAATTGGAGGCTTTAACATTACTCAATTACAAACTAGCTGCTTCAACAATTGCACTTCGTACATTCATAAATGAGGATCAACTAGGTTTTATTAAAGAATCGAATCTAAATGAAAATATATGGCTGGTTCAGGATATGATGAATATTACAGAGGATGAAACATACCAGGCTGCCTTTTCCGAGTTGATTTCGAGAATGCCTTAAAGTGTTTACAGGATGTATCTAAGTTTGGATCATCTATTTGTCACTGAATAGAAACATTCTATAAATTATTACATCAACTGTTTGACAATGTGGATATTTCCAACATTTCTGTTCCTTTAGAAAGATAGTGTAAACAAGGAGACTCTCTTTCCCCATATTTGTTTATTATATGTGCATAATCTCAGCGATTATGGTTCAGGGGAATAATAACCTAAAAGGTCTAACTATTGGTAACGTGCAATACTTAATAAATCAATATGCAGATGATACCTTATTATTTCTAGATGGCCCCGAAGAAAATTTAGGGCGTGTGAAACAATTCGTCTGTACGGTACAATGTCAATGTGCTATATCAAGAGTCGAGAGTGGAGCAAAACAGAAGTACAAAATGAACCTGTGCAAACACATTTATTTTGACTGATCTCAGGGACCTTTCAATCTTATGGGAATTACATTAAATACACTTACAGGAAATGCTACTGAGCAAGTATGTGTTAAAATAAGGAAAATCCAGTGTATTGTTGGAAAGTGGTCCAAACGAAATTTTACAGCCCCAGGTAGAGTCCCAATATGTAAGACTTTGCTCATACCAAAATTGAATCAGTTGTTCACTACCTATCAGATCCAAGACAATCTATTGTTATCTCGAACAAAGGTGTGGACGGAATAAAACAAGTTAAAAAGTTATACAAAGCTATGATGTTTGATAACCAGAGTTGCCAAAGAGCGAGGTAGACGTGCGAAAGGTCCAGGGAAAGATGCCACATGCATTACGCTGGGAGGCACACACAATTGACACAAAGTTTTGAATATGTTTTTGAACAGGGCTTTTAAAAGAATGTTGTTCTTTAAAGTTTAGCTATAACTGAAATATATCAGGCCACTTGGCCCCGGTGGCTATTCGTTGAAGTGGTTATTTAGACTATGGGGCCACGCTGTCAGTGATCAGACACCAGGTGTCCGTGAGGCCTTCGGTCTGTGCTGACAGGGTGAGGAAACACAACTGTTACAAAATCAGTCCTATTATTAATCAACAAGTGCGAATAAAGAAGTGATATACAACTGACAGCTACATGAATGGAGTAAATGAAAATAAATAACAAACTCAGAAAAGTTCTTTCAATACGTTTATGTGAAATACAATATGGCTGCAAAATGACGGATTATCCCGTGTTGACAAGTGTGGCCTTGTGACGTTTACAGTCATGGATATGACGTATAATCCTCAACAAATACAAGAGGCGACAAATGGGATCGGGTAGTCAGGCTCGGTGACTTGGTTGATTCATGTCATCGTACTCCTATTGCGTAGATTATGCTCATGATGTCAATCACGGTATTGTCTGGTCCAGACTCGATTAAATACAGACCGCTGTCATATAGCTGGAATATTGCTGAGTGCGGCGTAAAACAACAATCAAACAATTTCAACAAATGACACTTGTTTCAATACCGGAACGCGATGTCATTATTCAGGTGTAAAGTGTCCACATGTATTTGTTAGTAGTCAATCAAACAAGCTG